TACATGTCCTAGGTCCCTTACACTGGATGGTTAGAGCCTAGAACATGGAAATAAGTATACTTCGTATATCCTCAGTAAATAGTAGGATTGCTGATTATTTACCTACAACTAGGCGCTATTGATGTCATGTGCTGAGTGCTAGCTGCGGGTTCGAGGGACTACTCCATCCGAGCGATCGAATACTACGGTCCAGATCCCTCCCTTGGGAAATTCCAGCGGGCTACTAACTATGGCTGTGCGATATCAAGCCACCGCGACCTTTGTTTATGTAGCCAAATATGATCTTCATTCTCCAAACCCCGGGGTTATGATTTAACGAAGAGCCGTATGTCGGCAGTTTCACGATCTCATGCATTACAATGAAACGTAAGAAGGGAAAGTTGGCGATCTTCAGTATTCATATGGGCTCATGTCGGTCTCTTCGACGGGTGAATGGTAGCTTGATCGCCAATAGCGGGACTCACTACTGTGCCGTGTACCAATGATCAGCCAGGCAGCCAGGTTCCAATGCCGCCGGCACAAGGACGAATAGCCATTTGTGTCGGATGCAGATACGTACTGACAGCAACCGTGTTCTTCGCTTGTTCTACGCATTGGATATGAAAAAAAAGAAGTTTGCCTCGGCTTCGTCAGCAGCGTCGAAAAGTTTGCCCTTTGTGCTAATTTTTATTTCCTTAAGAAAAAAAAAACCAACCCTAAAATTTGCCCTTTCGTCTGACAATAGCAAGCAATATATTTATCTATGTACACTTCTTACCGTAAACGTTTTCGGCACACCGAATTCACGACTTGCAAGCTGCGGGATTGCCTGGTCCTTGCATAAAGCTCGGCAGCGCTTTTCGGCTTAAAGGAATATTGAACCTCCCAGGTGATATATTTGGTCACTACCAGATCATTCAGATATTGGTACAGATAGGTGGCATCAACTAAGATCAGTTTTTCATGCCGACGGGTGCGGCTTGCCGTAGAGCTTTCTAAGATCGCTCGTTTACCCGTAAGGGATTGTAATAGCCACCTAAGACTTGCACGATGGGCATTGATGATGTGAGGCCTGTGAGGCCTGTGGTTGTGCCTGTGTATCTTAGACCCTCGAGGCAATGTTGCTCGGAGATGACATGTGAGATGGACATGAGTAGAAGCTTCATTCGTGTCATACAGAATGTTGTGATCACCTCAGCAGAGACGAAAGAGGCAAGGAATCCCCGAAAACGGTGACGTCCTGTCCGAGAATGACAACACTGCGGTACACGGGATCCCATTCTGGGATTCAAACGGTAAGACAGAGGACGTGATTAAACTACGGAAACACAAAGGCTTGTCGTGATGTGTCTCAGGGTTGACGAGACGGATTGCCCTCGATGGCGATAAGGTTTGTGGTTCGACAGTCGAGACGCACTATGTTTTGACCTGACCTGCCATAGCTATCCAAGCTCTCTAGCTCTCTAGCTGGTGAGCTTCTCACGAGTAAGTAACTTTATAATAACCAACTAACCATATTATTAAAAAAAAATTTAAAAATTTAAAATTAAAAAAGGTCCCGTTTAGAATTTAGACAACTTATAGCCGGTTCTACTAGGCGAGTTGGGCATTGATAGCGCCGACGTTCTCTTGTCCCTACGTACGCGCCGTGCCTCGTCTAACCATCGGGGAGCCCAGGCCGACCTGGTACGGTTTCTTCTTGTCTGTTTAGGAGATTGTGAACCGGATTCCAACGAGTTTGGACATCGAAGGTCTCTTCCGTAGACTCTCCTAGTTTCAGGGGCTGCCACATAGTGATGAAAGACTGTTTCTTAAAGTTGATGGCTAACCTTTCGCCAGTCTGTGCTGATTAACATGGGAAAGTTCAAAGGCATGTGCAAGCGAACGGACGGTCTTTCGCATTTCCCCATATGGAATACTTGTACCTCATAAGGCGGAAAATGAATGTTAGGCTTGGCTTATAACTTGGACACTTAAATAAATTGACTTGGATTGGACCTCGGAAGGATTCTTCTAGTGAGTCCGGTGAACATCGCTCAGTTGTAACATACCTCAAAAGAGAGACTTTGGTTTCGTTTTCCATGAATACCTCCCATGTTTCGTTTTTCTTTTTTTTTTCTTTTCCTTCCCGGTTGAAGCTGCGAGCCTCGTACAGCTTCATTTCTTAATACATAGGTACATGTACATTATCTGGCATATGCATACAATAAGGTAGGTGCATATATATGTTAGATACACATTAATGTACATATTTAAGTATCGTGGTGTAAGTATCATGCGAAGGATAAATTGTATACAAAGTACATAGCTAGGTTAGGTATGTACATAGTAATGCTTAGCCCACCTAAGGCAGCGCAATGCCAGGTAAAGCCTGGTACTCAATCCCTGGAATCCTTGGCCGATTACCTAGCTGCTGAAGGGGAGTACATATTGGATACCGCTGTTGGTACCGGGGACTGGAGCCTTTCCAGGTCTTGGCGACGGGCGCTAACTGTCCCCTGTAAAGTGGGTACAAAGTACTTGAGCCGCTGCGAGATGCTTGGACCCGTGTAACCGTGGGACCGCAACCTCGCCGAAAAAAAAATCAAATCGGAAAGACGTTGCAAAATAAGGTTAATAAGCTTGAATTAATTGGGAAGCTTATTTATTCACATTATTGTGGTAATATCCGTTTTGTATGTGCTTTCCTCTCCCGCACTTTCCCTTGCCTCAAAATTCCGTCATTCCGTCATAATTTATTTACTTTTCCTCTACATTTATCTACTGTCCGTCTACTTTATCTATTCACGTCTTTCTTAACATTCTACCCTAAGTCGATTGATTGATTAATTAATCATTCGCCTCGAAAGACAAGCCTCGTGTCGACCCGCCTGGTTGTTTACTTGCAGCTGCAGGCGTAGATTAATACCAGATCATCGTTTTAACAAATTCAGACCGCAGCCTATCTCTTCGGCATCTTCACGAAAACTTGACTTGTGTAGGTACGAAACAGAACGAGAAGCGATACAAGGAGGGACCAGGGTGTAAACGAAGAACCAACGAAAGGGGCAATTATTAGACCATCTAGATCCGTTACGTAGGGGAAAAGAAAAAGAAGAAAAAAAGTAAACTTGGTCAACCCCATTCCTCTTCAGGCCTTATTTTTTATTTTTAAAAAAAATAAAAAATAAAAAATAAAAAAGGACAGAACAAGCGGCAAGGGTCTTTCGACGCTGGGAGCTATTTTATTAGTTCCAACTTCACACGTGTCCAACCAAGCTTAATTATTTCATGGTCAGCTTCGTCAAAGGAGGCTCGATAACGCCAACCTGGCAGGTTATTTTACCTCTCTCAATCAATCCACTACAAGCTGGTTCGTGCTCGGGCTCGGGTCTCAGGGTCTTCTAAAGGCCATCTTCCCCACCACCAACAGCCTTCCTCGAATATACATGCACAAAACTTTAAAAACTTACAAGTCACCTATCAAACCCTGGTAAGCAAAGCAGCCTCTTAAACCCCAGTTTTGCAACCTCACGGTTTAATTATTCAACTTGTTTTCTCCAATCCTCCAATCCTGTATAAAAGAAAACGCCTTTGCCCATCTAATAGTAGATTACCATTCAACCTACTGTTCTCGCACTATATTCTCGTACTACATTCTCTTGGGATCACTTGCTTACAAGACGTAGATTCGTTCTTGTTCCGTTTTTATAGCACCCTAAATTTTCAAATCGATTCCAGCTGGATTGGAGATACCCCTCCTCCTTGACTTAGGTCGCTTAATTGTCTGAAAGCAACAGTACCTCATCTGCCACGTCTAACCACATCTCATACCCCGAAAGGACACCTCGGGAGATTTCTATGACCTGGTTGGACCTTTTTTACTTGAAGCGGCACAATCGGAAATCCTTGAAAACTCTGTCAACCACCCAAGTATTTGGCTCTACCTGGCTCTACCTGGCTCTATCTGGCTCTCCCATTTGATGTCCTCATTTTTCCATCCGGGATATCTACTCCAGCGCCCGGTCTACGTATAACGTTCGGTGTGAGGTCACTTTGCTAAGTTTGACTTTATTTAAATTTATTCGGGCCTTAGGCCGGCCACCAATTTGCCTAACATAGGTACGTGCCATTTCTATTTGCTCTAGTATATTTTCTTTTAAGTTCACTTCCACACTCTCCCAAAGTCAAACCTGCATCGAGTTCTAGATTCGACTTGCGGAGTGGGATGGCGAGTCAAGCCAACCCGTTTAGGGAATCTACCCTAGTGAGACCATATATCCAGCATTTGGTCTGCATTATTAACCTCTTCGTCAAGCGCGTTGCATTGGCTTAGCTGGTTATACTGAGTCCAAGAGAAGCCTAGGATGAGACAACTAGTCCTAAGACCGAGGCCTTGGTGACGACTCAAATAATGATCGCAGTCAGCTTGAGTCCCCTTAAACTTTGGCAGCAATATAGATTCTGTTCAACTACTCCTTTCTTGTTTCTACTCTACACATCTCGTAGGCCTATCAGATACATATAGACATGTCATGTACTGCATAATTACACCGGTGTAGAGCGGCGGCTGAGATTCATCTACCCCTAGATGCCTCGACTGGGAGAGCTAACATGATAACTCCCTAGGCAAGGTTTCCACGAGTTTGGACACTCGGCTCTAGTTCCGTAACGCCTGGACCGTTAATTATCCAGGGACCCCGACTATCGACACGAGTTACCCGCAATTTAGAAACGCCAAGACAACACTTGCATTCTCACTTCTTCAGCTACCAAGACTAGGGCCGACCCTAACCACGCAAGCTTCTCCATTATCCGCAGCAATAGTCTTCAGCCGCTCACTGTCTGATGACCCACCTCGATTGAAGCCAGTGTGTGGATCTGATATGGTGGATGGGTAGCAGGATTAACAATACCTTATTTACCTGGCAAGGAATCAAGTTCCACCTTTTCTCCCTTCGGTTTTACATCTAGCAAACCTCTACTACATCTATTTTTCTTCTTCTTCTTTTGTCTTTCCATATTAGGCAAGGAGGGAAAAGATGGAGACTTATCGCGGATACGTACGAACACCCGCAGATGCAATCAAGCTCTTTGAAGCTTGTAGGCTGGGTTTACTGCCTCGAGTACAAAGACGATTATCGGAGAAAGAACGGCAGTCCATCACATCTGGCTCAGTTTTTGTATGGGATGAGAGGGAAGCTGGTATGCGCAGGTGGACCGACGGGAAATCTTGGAGTGCGAGCAGGGTTTCCGGTAGCTTTCTCACGTATAGAGAGATGGAGGGTAAACGAGGCACCACATTCGGTACAACGCGACGAAGTAACGGAAGGACACCTGATAGCGGTCGACTTAGCGAGGAAGACCAGGATGGTGAGCCAGAGGGTTATAGATACAAGGCGGATGGTTTGATGAAGCAGTCATTTAGCATAACGACGTCGCAGGGCCAGCACCTTCACTTGATCTCATATTACTCCCGACCACACGCTGGAGCCGGCGATTTGCTTCAGCCAACCACGGATCCTCAACTACGACATATTATCCCCGTAAAGGGCATGTATCCCGAATCAAGCCTTCACGAGACAAACCCGCCTGCTTTAACAAGGACACCTATGCAGCCGTACACCACTCACAATGGTAGTCTTGAGCAGCAACCCTATAACAACTATCACGGCGCATGGAACCAACAGCCATGGCAAGGCCAATGGCCACCCTCACCTAATCAGACTCCTCCCTTTATGCAAGGGAAGCTGACACCAGAGATAAAGCACCAGGTTCGACCTCAACCGCAGCAGCCTCCTCCAAGGCCACATCAACTACCCCCGCTACCGCCAACTTCAGCGCCTTCCGCCCAGGCTCCCATTTATCCCAAAGGTCTTACCTACGAGAGTGATCGACTACCTCCGCCTACTCTAGCCAGGCATTACCCAGTACCTGGGCGAGCCCCAAGCCTCTCTCCGCAATCCCAACATCTTCAAATTCAAGCTGCGCAGGCCGCTCAGGCTGCACAAGCCGCGAAAGCTGCGCAAGCCGTGCAAGCCGTTATAGATCCCCGCCTATCAGCAACAAGCGCACGCAATCCACAGGGTCCACTTCCCGCGATACCTACAGCATCTCGAGGGTTGACGCCCCCAAGAAATCATTCTGTTTCGCCGCCAAGGCAAATGACTTCGGAGAGCGCTAATGGCAATGCAAACAAAGCCAGCTTATCGGCGCTTCTTAACCGGACACCAGCTAACTCGGAACCAAATAGCGCAAACCCGGGTAGTAATAATAGCGCGGGCAGTTCACCCCGAGCTCTCCCAGCGGGAGCATCTGGTGTACCGACACCCACAGATATGTTTAGAGGAGAGGATAATCGAGCAATACAATCTCTTAATCGCAAATTTTACCTTTGAGGACTCTCGAGGACTTCACGGTGGGAATCTAGCTGGCATTGGTCAGGCGTTCAAAAATTGCATTCAAGGCGATGGGGCAGGGCCTAGTCTTTTGTTTGGCATGGGTGCTTTTCTACTATCTACGAGGCATCCTCAGCGGGTCGGAGTTATGGTTCAGCTTCACGATAGTTATGACAGAGCTCAAGTACTCTCTCGATATTAATTTAGCGCTTCGTAAATAGCTTAGTCGCGTACAACAGAGCATGGACGCCCTCGTGGGCCAGACATATCAATGGGGCCTCAGGGCATACAAGGTTGAGATCAGGAGGATTTGTGAAGGAGTAGATAGGTTAGCGATGCGATATCATGAAATCAAATATTTTAGTCTTGCATTGTTTACCGCTCGTTTCTCATCCACTTCGTACGTAAGTACTGTTTGAAATCTGGTCCTCGCCGAGACTAGGGGGAGGGTTGCAGGGATTAGAGATCGGCATGGTAGACACGATGTCCCCCTGTAACGCATCCCGTTTATTCTTGCCTGGTCTACTTATATACTATGTACATACGTACACGCTTACATTGTATTTATGTACATGTATACGATAATCCATGTTGGTTGCTTATGAGGTTAAATAAGGTTCGTCAATTCAAATTCAAACTCGACTGTTTATGAACCCAACAAGCGGTAGCCAAGCACATGTAGCTTATAGCCTACGTAACGCGTTATATATACATACAATATTGCTTCGCCTTAACCACATACGATAGATTACACATATATAATACTATCTAACTTTAGGTAGGTAACTAGGTACGCTAGATGATATACTAGCATGATGTTTTCGGTCACCAGTTTGACTTGGCAAGAGACGCATTTTTCTCTTACCTATCTGGATCGGTCATCGGACCATGCTCGTGCTGTAATTGTATGATATCCGCGACGTATTTCGCACGTATTACCAACTTCTCGTAGTTCCCGTGGCACTAAGGTCCTTTTTTAGCACGGACGGTGGGACGGGGGGGGCGGCGGGCTTGAAGTTTGAAGTTTTGTTTTGTTTTGTTTTATTTTCTTCGTATGTTCCATTTTGGCTGGTAGACTACCTAGTGTAGATTACCTTTAGCTACTTGGGATAGGTACTTCGGGATGTGGCTCGCCCCACAATCGAGACAGAACTCAAAACCAACAATGTGGGTAAAAAAAGACCGCTGGATGTAACCATGTAACGGATCTAAAGGCGTTCCAGAATACCTTATCTTATGTAAGGTTATTTCCATTGCGCGTGGCTTAATAAGGTCATATTCCCGTTACTAGCGCCTAAAAGCAGCAGGGGTCTGGGTAATGGATTTCCCACCCCTTAACTTTAGATTTCGAGAAGGTTAAGCTTAGCGCTACCGATCAGCGGCGATGACGTTAGGTTTATGCACTTAGGTATGTACATAAATACACACCTAATATACATAGGTGTACCAAGTACACAGCATGTACTATTCTCAATACTATGTAAATAAGGTTCTCAATGCTACACTGCAGTACGGCCAACGGAAGTAGTAATTAAGTTTAGCTCCGCCGCCCCCTTCGAGCTAGAAACTTTACTGCGAATAAGCTAACGGCATATGCCTTTATCTTATTTTTTTTGTCCTTTTGGAATTGGCACGGTTCTTTAATAATCTCGTATCGTACAAGGAACTTTTATTTTGTGATCTACCCTAAGCACACGTGTAATACCAATCTCCGATACATACCTAGGCATCCGGGGGACCACCCAGGTTAAGGACATTAAGAATCATGGGGGCCCACGTGCGATTACATGCAGTACACCGAGCACACCGAGCAGATAGTAATATTTCACGTGATGTGACGCGACGCGAAGGAAACAAACGGATCGCGTTGTTCACACATATATATGCATAGGAAGTAAGTACCTAAAGTATAAAATAAAATAATTGAACAACCTACTATCAGGTAATTGTTAGGAATTGCTAAGTGACAAGAAAAAAGGAGGCCGTAAGTGAAGACGCTCAACATGTATAATAGATATATCGACAAGGGTTGATGATCCATCGCGTTGTGGATTCAACACATAGTCTTTTAATCGGATTATATATGCCGTATTAGTGCAGCATAGCATGCGGGTATATAAATTATACAGACCTTGATATATCCCGTATATATATATAAGAAATATGATAGCTTATGATATATTACGCCCCACTGCCTCTCAAAGTTTAGGAGGCTTAAACTTACTTTATCGAGTTTAAGATTTAATATGGGGTTTACTCATTCAGTGAAATAGGCATGTGGGAAAATGTTCATATATATGGTATAATATAGGCCAGGTAAATACTTACGTTTTAGTGGTAATTACTCAAATAGCCTTTGAAGAAACAAGCGATATTATTATTGGATTAGAAGCGACTGGGTCTTAATGTACGTAGAACCAACAGAGCAGGATGTATTGTACATACCGGCCTGCATGCCGACCCAGATAGCTAAGACGGAATTAGTGCACTAGAGATTTTCACAGCTTAATGTACGCCCCTTGTAACAATGTTATTCAGCGGACCCCTAGAGCTGCTTCGCTGAGATCCTGAAGCGTATATCTACTACCGCCTTATGAGGTTGCCGTAGCTCTTCGAAAACGTAGTTTCAGAGGATTTCATGCTATAACACCTTCGTATAATGGTTAAAAATGGTTTAAAGGGCGTTATTCTATTTAGAATTAGAGGCCCTGTTCTAAATTCAACAACGATTTCTCCAATGTTCTCACTGCATGCCACTGTGATCTATAAGGCCGGGTTATATACGGCTGCCTTGGACAATTACCTTGATAGACTTTCCATCTTTTGATTTACTGGCTCAAAGACCTATTTAAACTAAAGCACATAACGGTCTTGCATTTCCTCAGCAAGAGTTGTGGCTTATTAGACTCCTTTCCTTCAACCAACGTCGGCAACTACTCCAAATTTAGCCCCAAAAATACTAACATTCAACTATGTACTAATGGTCGTACATAAAGGTCCTAAGATATTATTGTTCTTGAAGCATATTGAGCCCAAAGCATAATATTTCTGTTCATATTCTCTATTCCAAGCTACTCGCTCCTTTCAAACTCAACACTCAACAGAGTTGCCATTCATCACACACACATGCACACACATATAAAGAAATAGAAGAGGGGGGGGAGAGAGTGAGAGAATAAATCAAGGTATAGAAGAGTATATTTGAGTTATCAGTCTAAAAGCTGGTAGATACTGCAACTCCTTCCCTAGCAGTAATATCAGAAAAGTTGAACACAACTTCACCTTTTTAATTTATAATTTTGACAGGTTTGTGTTATCACTCTTTCTCCCCTTTAGAATCCGCCGTGTCCTATAGATGATATATGTCGTGAATAAAGGCTAAACACCTGATCTAGGCTGTATGAAACCCTCGTAGCAAAATCACTGGTATGATATTGCATCAGACAAAAAACAAACAGCTGTGATTGACATACAATGTACTTCAAAAGCCACCCGTTAAAGCAGAACCAATTTAGAAGGTAGATATCTCATTTAGCCTATATTGCTCTATACGAGGCCGCAAACAGTCCCTGGTATCGCATAATTCACGCATGCCTCACAGCACCAACGAAACTCGATGAGTGGTTTTGATGTTCCATTACCTTATCTGCCTTTCTTACTATAGGAAACTTGCTTCGCCCTGGCCCTTGGAGTACGTACGATCTATCGATGCATGTCAGATACTAAGACCTACACACCTATCTAGGACCTTATGTCCATATGCGAATGATATATGGATGAAGGGGTTAGGGTTGGTAGTAAGACAAATGCTCCTAGTGATTGAAAACATACGAATAGGTATATAAACATACTTGCTTCTATTGCTAGCGACATGGAAACTTCTTAAAGTAACTACAACGAAATAAAATCAGAACTATAGAGATATGATTTGCAAATTGAAATAGACCGATCTAAGCTGTGGCTCTATATTCGATGAAACATGCTTGGTCGAGTCTTTACGATATATTATCATGTTAGATAATATGTATTACGGTAATAAAGTAAAATATAGGCAAACCTACCTGAGCTTAAAATAAAGCATGTGCGGATGATAATTACTCACTTACCTTAATAAGATAATAACTGTCAGGGCTAGTAGGTTAGGTAGGTATCCAAGTCATTAGCTACATCTATGAATCTACCATGATCATACTCTTAGCTGTCATCGCTCAAAACCCCCACATAACAATGACGAGACCATAGTAGGCTGGTCAAGGATTCAGTGACATCTGGAACTGAGTTACAATAAGTTTCTAAAGTAAATGATAGCTCGGTGCCTAAGCTATGGTTTGCTGCTGGATTTCTCTCCGCTTAAGGAATTTTTAAAAATACCTGGAAGCAGTGATATTCTCTAGATTCGATTTCAAAGCTTCCGCTCAACTTACTCTATAAGAGGGCCTGGATGAAAATTTCGCTTGTCCTTGTGAGATCAAACAGTGGACTTCTTACGAGAGCATTTTTATGGTCTTCAATAGGAGCAAGCTGACTATGGATATTGACGTTTATATTTTCTATTCGAGTTTATTTTGTATGGCGATGTTTCAGGCGCCAGAGCGCATCCCAAGGACAAGGAGAGCAGCGCATGTTGGCTAGCGCTATTCCAATATGACACCTGCCACCTACTAGAGGATAGCAAACTGTAAAGTTCACCCTAAACATTGTCGGTTATAGTAATTGTAGTCGAGAGCGTCAAGGACGCCGGCTAGATGAACTCCAGTAGCCAGGACAACCAGAACATGAAATATCTGGTGTGATGATCCATATATGTCGAATAATCCCGGGCTGATACTCTCAGGGAATCTCGTCTGTATGATCCATCATGGTCTAGTTAGTGATCTAGATACTCTTGTTCCTCTTTATTTGCGAGAATACCTGAGGTGGAGAGGAATATTCTGAAGAAGAGTAATATTAACAAATAGACATAGGACTAGTAATTGACTTACGGCATATACAATGGCTCCGATGAGAAACAATCCCCCTTCTGCCAGGTAGTAAGGTAGGCCGGATTGCTTCATCATCTGTGCGAAGCCAAACATGACGATCCCGTGGATGATAGGGGCTAACCCAGAGAATCCCGTACATACGAACGTGAGCAGACGTAAGGTGCGCCACTTTGGGCCTTGAAACGTGGGTGCCAACACGATAATTATGGATATTGCAGCAAGAGATCCGATCTGTAAACCAATACAGAGACAACTCGTTAGTTCAATTCCGAGTAAAGAAGTTGGGTCATATCGGGTACATGGTGTTTGCTCGGTTTCGTTGACCTAGGAACGGCCAGAGGTATGATTAGAGATGTAAACTGAGAATGACTATTACTTGCCATAGACCAATAAATATTTCTTTCCAACGTCTCGCACCAGAAACCAACGTAGACGCCCGAAATGAGAGACCCTAGTATCAGCAAAATGATGCCGACAAAGTCAAGACGCAACCATAGAGCTTCTACTTCTCGAGAATGGCACATTAACGTATGGTAAGCGCAAGAGAGACCGAGACATGCCGTTGCGGAAAGTAATAGTATTGCGACAACACCGGCATCGTTGCTATTGCGGTGCTGTAGGCGCGAGACTAGATAAGCCAGGCCACTTATGAAGAGGGCTATTGCTGGCACTAGGTGCGTAAAGATGTTCACTGTCTCATTGTGTAGGTATAGCCAACTTCCAAAACAGACTCGCGCCGAGTTGGACACGGGTCGATAGCCTCGACGGATATATGGGTTGTCCTGATACCAGTCTGGAATTTCCTCGTATAGGGCTAAAGGATGGCTATGTTTATCCTGCCGTGTCTCGCTTTGGGAACTTCTCGTCGAAACATCTGCGCCGTCAAAATTCGGTTGCTGCTTCTCGTCTGAAGATGCAGTAGCGGACCAATTCGACGCATTATTAACCTCTTCTGATAGCGGCGGCATTATGACCTGCTTGTCCTTGAACATGTAGCATAAAAAAACATATAAAAGAGCGTCTTTCCTTATCCCTTCTTTGGTTTGCATTTCAACATATTTTATGAGATGTTCCTAAATCGCTTGATTTGCATGTGCGGAGTGAGAGGGCGGGGTCGACGATCTTGTCCTATTGCTTATAATTTGCCAGCTTCTGTGAGGAGCTAGATCACCGAAATACCGGGGACCTGGAACCAGAAATTCCATCAGAATGCTAAATTACCTCAAATTGTCAATAAGCATGGTAATTATGTATTAACAGCACTGACATTATATGAAGCAGAACGAACCCCCTTTTTGATCCAGTGTGGGACATCGCAACACTTGTTGAATTTCCGAAGACCTCGGATAGATACGAGATGGGTAGGACAACCTAGAGCGGCTCGGCATCAATTACACCTGAGATCTTCTAGGCTTGTTTGCTAGCCATAGGCTATAAACCACCGAAAACATCAGAATCTCCCAGTAGAAACTGTAGCATCGATGCGCGACATAGAAACGGAGCTACGCCTAAAATTATAATCGGTGATATTCATAAATATGAGGTGCACAATATTCTCTGGTATGTGCGTACAGACCATCTGAAGGAATGGTCAAGTGCTTGACTGATAGGTACCTAAGGTATATTAACATAAACACGGCACAAGCTCACTAGAGCCTTTCTACTGTTAATAGAACAACAATCCAATAGGACTGCTGCTTAAGAGACTGGAAATAAAATTCGAATGAACTGGGTATCGTTGCCGTAATGCGAAAACCCGCACTCAACCTACATTGAAACATCTGTTTGGCTGCCATGAAATTTCTTGTCGCTGGGCCTAAATCGGATTATGGAATTCATTGACTGAAGCACATTCTGCTCCTAAGGATCGACCTTAATGCAAACTGATTTGGATTTAGGATTAGGTGGTAGTGCCGCCGATATTATCCGAGCAGTGTCCATGAATATGGCATAGTTTCTGAATGTTTCGCTGAGAATTTAATTATAATTCCAGTTCGATATCTGCTATTTGGAGTTGTAGGTGGGCATCGGATAACTGCTAAAGGTTGGGTACTGCCCATTTCCTCAGCTTCAAAGAGAGCTTCCTCGACCTGCCATCCATTCCCTTGAAGGGAACTCATGATGTAGGCAGTATTTCAGTCCCAACCAGATTTGCTGAAAGACTAGAATATGAATCAGATATGCCGATAGTTGGTTGCGAGACTGATAATTCTTAAGCTGTAGGGCTCGAAACCATATGAAGCCGTCCCAGTAGTCGTACTTGTGTATTGTGATAGGTGCACCTACACATTAAAAAACACTGTTAGTCTGGTCCAGTATATCAATTTGTACCACCTTCGTTCCTGTGTCTGGTTGAAGCATTGGCGTCTGGTACTTGATGCTTGTCCAATATGGTTGGTCCAATGATACTCGAGAGGCGAGATGATGGCCATAATAGGAGGTTAAAGGCATCGGACTGTTTTATAGTCCAGTTAATAATCCAAGCCCTTCCTAAAAAGTCCACAAGATTTGCTGTTTCATATCCGAAACCCATGAGGAACATTATCGCGATGTCTTTAACGTGATCGTTTCTCCGTGTTACTCTAGCCCCAAGGATGTGTCCAAACACAGGATACTAGAAATTTGCACCGAGTAAATCCTTTCTTGTAGATGTTAATACTTGGGTTGATAGGCTTTTGCGATAGAATGCTCGCAAGTTTGTCGTAAATTTGACAATAAAATTTGACAGTATGTCGTGGTCATGCTCGGTAGCTGAAATGCTGGCAGATCATATGGGTGACGTGGACATCGAAATCGCGAATCATGACCCCACACAGTAATCTTCTGCATTTGACCCATCAGGCACGAATCGAGATAATGACGGCCAGGTTACCAGATTCTCAGTGAACTAGGATGACGGTTGAAAAGGGCGTAGAAGCCTATTGGTGTAGAACACAGAGTTGCTTCTCGCTTGCAGCCTTGAGGCATCTCTGTGAATGTGGCTCGTCATGACACGCGCTGCGAATGTGTATATGCCCCAAGGAATTGAGTCCTAGTTACTGAACTCTTTTCCAGATAAATAGACGAAACGAATGATATTGGCCCCCTTGCTTGGTAGGATAGGTACGAAAGCACCGAAGGAGCCTTGGGTTGCTGCTGTTGTGATATGCGCCGCGATAAACCTGCAGTTTAGAACACGACATGAAATACATCCCATGTGTACACCAAGACGCGTTTTAATACCAAAACTTAGCGGGTTAGATCTTGAAAATAGTAGACAGTACCCCCTTGAGTCGCTAATATGCGTTAGGACTAGAAATCAATGGGAGATGAGATTTATGTGTTGAGTAGTTGAGGTGGTGCAAGATATGCGGATAGCTTCATGTCGTGGGAGAATGCAGGTGGGTTAGCAGCAAAACCCATAACTAAACAATGCCCGTCTTTCTGAAATTGCAATATAATCAACGGGGTATCATTTATAGCTTGGAGATAGCTAAATAACTGAAGAATCACTTGAATCGAGGCTTGGAAGCCAATGCATGGGTTATGAAGCCACCATCTCGAATGCGACCGATAATATCGAAAACCAAATCGGTCGAAAACAAACTAGAAGCTCTAGAGACGGACCAAGATACAAGTTGGCATTATACTAAATCATTCTTTTTATTCTCTAAATCGGACTATTCTATAGAACGTCAATAAATGACTCAACAGATCGCCTGATTAAAAATGTGTGGGAGGCAACAAGAAGAAGAGGGAGAAGAGGAGAACAGAAGGACGACGGGGAAGGGGGGGGACGGTGGGAGAGTTGGGTGTGTGAGGGCTCGAGTTTCGTAGGCGCATGATTTGATCGATGTGAGTTAAGAAGTGACAAGAAAAATAAAAAATGAAAAATAGGTACCTTGAAAGCGTGAGCTGTTGTTTGAGCTTCGGCCAATCAAAAAATTCGACAAGACGGATCAGCTTTATCGAACTGGGGAAAGATTCTAGGCGCTGTGAGAGGTCCAAATCAGCATCGAATCAGTCCTTCCAAGCATTTGACTGGCTGGTGGAGGCTATGCAGGATGTCTATCGGGCGGCGGGTTATTTAGGTCTAAGCCCGACTAGGAAGTAGTTTAGACGTTTCAGTAAGATAATGCAACCTTAAAGGTTAAAGTAGGCAGGGTAGATAGAGTGCGATCGGGTCCAAATATATGGGTGAAAGGTGCGTGTTGCCTACATTACCTGCCTCGACTGCTGGTATTTTATTAGGTACCTTATGTAGGTATTTATTTTAGTGCCAGCGAATTTTAAAGTGAATCCATTTTTATGGAGGGGGAGGAGGAGGAAGCACCAATTTCTCCCACTGTAGCTGATTGTACTAGACTACCTAACGTACTTACTGATTGTACACGACCCCCCGCCTAATATATAAGCAAGCTCACCTTTCTCGCTGTCGCGTCCCGATCGAATGCCTCCCTCCCTTCCGTTTTCTCTTGACTATATTCCTTCCGTACAGTAGAAACATTCCCGTTTGCATCTATTTATTAGAAAGCCATTCTCAGATTCAATTGATTATTTCAACTGATTGCTCGCATCCCTCCCACGCGTTATCAAAACCAACAAACACATTCGAAATGGGTCCCAAGAAAGCAGACGGAGCTCCCAAGCCCAAGAGCACTCATGCTTCCTATCAGGTATGTGCAGCGACAGCTCGACCGGCATCTTACTGGACAATCTTGAGTACTAACATGCTATAGGATATGATTACTGATGCCATTGTTCATGTACTTATCCCCATTCCTTTGCCCCCGGCGCATCGTGTATTGCCTAGTTGGTGTTTGTGGTTGGGTTGCATGCCAGGTGTTCATCGTCCAGTGCTGCCACTCAACCCTACATGACTAGCATATCATTTAGACTTATTGAGTGAACATGCTGACGCGTCTTTTTTCAACTTCAGCTCAAAGAGAGAAATGGTTCCAGGTAAGGAAATCCGAGCACTCCTGTCCTCATACCCACTATTTTAGTGGTCGCGTTTACCCCCCCGATCAATCCGTGCTAACTATATCATAGTCGTCAACAACTCAAGAAATATGTCAAGGCAAACAACACCATCAATGTTACAGACAAGATGTTCGACTCTCTATTCAACAAGGCCTTGAAGGCTGGTGTTGATAAGGGTATCTTCGAGCAGCCCAAGGGTATGTCTTATAATTCATTCCTTGTCGTGTCTATGCTTGGGTATTAACTTGTTATAGGACCTTCCGGTGGTACTAAGTTGTCCAAGAAGTCTAAGCCTGCCGCAGCTAAGCCAGCTGCCAAGAAGGAGACTGAGAAGGACGCTCCCAAGAAGGCTGCCCCGAAGAAAGAGACAGCTACTAAGAAGGCCGCCGCACCAAAGAAAGCTGCAGCTCCCAAGAAGGAAGCCACTGAGAAGAAGCCTGCAGCAAAGAAGGTTGCTGCCGCTGCCGCCGCCCCCAAGAAAGCTCCTGCTACTAAGAAGGCGGCACCCAAGAAGGATGTAAGTTTACACGCATTCTTGTCAGCCTCTGCATTATCTAATGGATCTAGGCTCCCGCTACTGAGGACAAGCCTGCTGCTTTGACGAAGACCAAGGCTGGCAGAGTTACGAAGACTGCAACGGCGGCTAAGCCTGCTGTCAAGAAGGCTGCGCCTAAAAAGGCCGCCGCACCCAAGAAGGAAAAGGCACCAAAGAAGGAAGCAAAGGCTGAAGCTGCAGCATGAACATTCGCATCTTGATTTGTGTCATTCGAATTGTGTGTTGGGGTTTGGCGGTTTAATGGCGTTTGGGGAACAGGGTACAAAGTTACGTGTGCGTCTTTACTGCGCCATGGAATTCGGCGTGTTTTTGGAAGGGTCGGTAAGGATTTCAGTGAAGGGGGGCCATAGTAGCTCCGAAGCGTTGCAGATGTGTCCGACATACCTTCAGCGGTGCCAGCGGCTCGTGTGCATATTGTCCTTCCCTTAGCGGGATCACGGTTGTTTCGGTTGGATTGCACATATTCCCCAGTCATGGCATCTGTTAGAGGATGGGTATGGAACTGACGACATCATGAGTATACTTGTAATTATACCAATGAAAAAGAGGGCCTTTGCACGGCTTCCGACCTATGTTTAAGTCTTGTCGCGGTTGTGAAGTTTTTTATGTGATCCTGGTTGACGCGTTTGCTCACTGTCGATTTGTTTACAACCTGGCTAGGTAGCATTGCGGGGCTCCTACCGGTGTTGATACTAGTAGTTATCACGTGTGGTGAGAGGGGCTCTTATATTAATCTGCTATGTATGTATTACTAACATGGCGTATCCCCATGAATTTGATTGGTTGTATGTAAATAGCTGTACCCCGGTAAATGCAGACTATTACCTACATGGCACGACCGTAAGCATAAACAAGCGTGTGTAGCTATGTAGGTATATCAATAAATTCATATTTAACTGAACAGCCATACTTGAGTCTTGAAACGTAGGTAGTTATACTCTGTTTAAATGAGTTGCACATAGGAGATGTAGGACAAGTTACCAACCTAGATTAAGCTAATTATGCACAGTGCATAGTACCAGTTAAACCTAGTATAATTGTTGTATGTTTTAAATTATGTAAATAACTATAGTAAAGCAGCTTCAAGGTCTTATCAATATCGGAGTATAGAGTTGGTAGATATGAAATTGCATACTATGTAATATAACTCTCCACACCTTAAACTCAGACTTGCAGACTTATGACTTACAGATTTTAGTATTGTACCACGATCTTCCCTCTCCACTATATAACTACCTGTTAGTTGTAGATCTACGTTATGTTTATCCAGCTGATAACCCATTTTTAGATTAGCCTTGTATTAATTTTTACACTATGCCCTTTCCGTTTCCCATTTTGCGCAAAAGCTGGGAGCTATTGCCTCCAATTTTTGGGGTCTAGTTCATATTATGTAGAGGTTCAAGGTAGGTATGATAGAACTTTATCGTTATCAAACAAAACGGTATCGCAATCCGATAGCCCGCTACCGAAACTTGCTACCGAAACTTCCGAAGAGTCTACCGCTCCAGCCTAGGCTGACCATGTCACACACCTAATCAATACAGTACATCGCGCCCAAGTTGTTATTTTTTACTGTATGTCGTAGTCTGGAGGGGGATCTACAACTGCACCACATCTACAACTACAACTACAACTACAACTACCACGCCGATACCGATACCGACGTCGACCCGACTCACGTATCGCTCCCGTATCGCTCACGTATCATGGCCAGCCTAACATAGCTTCCACTATTGCTTTCCCTGCACAATCCGTCTAAACCGTGCTTTTTTAGGCGTTCCATCATCGCATCATCGCATCATGTCTTCGCGAGATCAGTCCCTCAGCTCTAATAACCCCTTTCGTCGGAAGCTAGGCTATCCTTCTCTCTCAACCGACGGCCCCGCCTCGGCACCCGCCTCGAGTTTTAATAACCCCTCCGATCCTATTCCACGAACACCATTTACGACTTTCAAGTCAGCCTCACATAAAGATGACGAGCACGACGAGTACAAGGCGCACGAGGGGAGAGAGAAAGAGGCGGCGCCGGTACAACATAAGCCGAAGAAGGTTATCAAAAGAGTCCGAGTCCAATCACCACCTCCATCGTCACCCGAGGAGGATGCCGTACCCGTCAGCCGTTTTCCTTCCGTAAGCGATGACGATGACGATGGATATGATAGTGACAATAGTGATCTACCAGAGTATATTGATCACATTGATCCACGCGGCACAGATTCCTTTGCTGTGCAAGATCGGGATAGCTCTGAGTTTGGCCGAATAGAGCCTCCAGCGAATCCCTTCACCAAGACGCTACAGGATTTAGAGCAGTCCGAGCAAGAGCAAAGTGCTAAAGCACTGACAAAAGGGGCCCTTGATGTTGACTCGTTCAAGAGACTTCTATTAACAGGATACGCAAATATCCCGAGCCACCCATCCGCGTCAGCACCCGAATTAGGAGGGTATCCTAGGGTTCAATCGCCCTTGCATGGCGGCGAGACTAGTACGGACGCACGTCCTAGAACACGCCAGTCTATATTTGATGCCATGCCAAAAGAAAACTCGAGAATCTCACAAAAGAATTATGGATCGGAAGATCCTGGGGAGCGAAGAAGCGCCCTGTCCACGTCTCCCCTTTCCTCGGCCGCTCCCTCCTCCATAAAGAAAAAGCCACCGCCTCCTAGCTCGCGGCATGGAAAACTGATAAAGATCGAGTTGGGAGCAGGTATAGAATCTCGTCCCACTAGAAATTCAACACCTCCTGTATCTATAAATGTTACCACCCTACCTTCTACTGGACCGTCACGTAAACCCAACTCCCAGGCGGGCAGCCCGTCACAACCTCCGCTTTTAACAACTGATGTAAACAAACCGCTCCCGCTAACACCTTTCCGTCCCTCTGTGGAAGAGGCAGTTGATTCCCCATTCGATCGCGAGGCTATAGGAAAGGTTCCCGAACCCTTCGCTAATCCGCAGGCGAATTCCGAACCGCCAGCATCATCCCTAGCTACTCAGGTTTCCTCTGAGTCGAACGGCACCACGCAGTCTCGCAAGCCCGCAGCCCCTCCGCCACGCCGACACGGAAGAAGCGATAGTAGAGCACCTTCCATTAATACTACGAATGTAGATGAAGATACCCCGCCGAGATCATCACTAGAGTCGAACCGGTCGCGAACTGATAGTCTACGCGCGAATACTAACCTGGGTAATAATCCAAACGTACCCGCTCCACCACCTCCTCGCCGGCCAAATCATGCCAGACAGGGGAGTTCGTTTACGAGTCCAAACCAGGGGAATTTTACTCCGGCCTCTACTATAGGGCTGGTCGAGGACAACCGCAGCCCAATAGGGACGAGTTTTGGGTCCGTGGTCAAAATTGGGCAGACAGAAGCCCCGAATAGTCTAGCGAATATAACCATAAACAAGGAAGGCCTGTCCAAACTATCCCCGCCACCCCCGCCACCTACTAGACAAGCCAGCACGAGACGCCCACCAAGTGTCAGGAGTATAGATCTTAGCAGCGGGCCTAGCATAATAAGACGAGTTAGTAAGGAGAAAGATGGAACAGTGCCACCTCCTCCACCACCTCCCCCGAGACAACGTGGTAGTAGCCGTGCGAGCGTGGAAAATTCAGCTATGCTTGCAGAGAGCATGGATAATACAAGCGGTGACACCCAGAAGGAGGCCACAATTTCCACTCCAACTACTGCTGAGGCTGCGATTGATACCAAGCAAGGAGCGGAGATATTGGCGGACCTCGACGCATTGCAAAGGGAGGTCGATGCTCTGATGGGAAGATACGGAAATGCTGGCGGGAGCTGAGAAGTGCGCGCTCTCTAGCCTTTCGGAAATAACAAATAAAACCAGGAGGTTCCCGTGATAGTGAGAACCAACAGACACTCACGGGAGTGTACGAGGACCCTTCAAAAGAGAGAAGATCGGAAGGTTGGCATGACCTAGACCGGTTCCTCCGCGACTGGATATGAGATATGAACTATGCGTCACAAATTATGAACGTTATATAGGATCCTTGTACAGTAGGTAATTGTTAATGCTGGGGCGGCCAGATGTCCGGACACACTGGCGCCCAGCCGGAGATTATAGTGCAGCGCAGTTATTCCGGACCGAGGGAAAGAATGAAGCGTAAAGTTTATACCTCCCCCTTTTTGTTCCGCCGCAGCGCATCGGTGTGTAAGTATGGTTGATACCACTTGTCTATACCTATATACTGCTTGCTTTTAGTCGTAGGCCCGTGATAGCTCGCGGGTTTTGGTATATGTTGGTGATTTAGTATTTATATTTATTATATAGCGTTAATGATGCAGTAGCGGGGTGAAAGTAAACTCTTAAAGGCACAGTAGGTTGTATAGGTAGTGTAAGTTATAAAATAGGGTTATGAGCGAGAAAATGGCAAGTTTCTCATGAGGACTTTGGAAGAACTCTTCTGAGCTCACTGGGAAACTTAGCAGTATTAAGGAGACTACCTCCTAAAGGTAGCTACCTAGACCTACGGCTTTATTGGGTTATATAAGTCAGCCCTTGATATTGGCATATCCGCCATAATTAGTAGCTATCTGAATCTATTGGTATACACTTCTAAGTTGGCTTCATAGAAAAGTGACACTGCCTCCATAGTAGACTGATACAGTTCCAGACAGATCGTCTTAGTTATGCCCTGGTCACGGTTAATTTCGGACTTTAACTCAGTGAGGAAATATAATACGCAGCATGTCTCATTTACACCTTCGAAAGATCCTGCTATGGATAACCTAGCCCTTACGAGAACTTGTTTCGGTGGTTGTAAAGACTGTTTAAGGGGCATATCAGTAGTACAAGGAAACCAATTTCAGTTGAGTGAATTAGACGAGTCTGAGGAATTGCTGAGGATATGTTAGAATCAACAGACCTGTTAGTTATCTCCACCAAGGTTCTCATTGCATGGTAGTATATGGGTAGAAGGACTATTGAGCTACTGCCCCCTTAGTTTACCCCCCCCTTCATAAGTTGTCTCTTCATGCTACTTCAGTTCTTGAAAAGACAAATGCTTCCTAAGACCTTTATATGACAAATAGCATATATCCTCTAGCCGTTATTTGCCTTTCGTTTAATATATATTCTCTTACCTATATCAATTACTTCTAGGATGTTAAGGCCGCCCCTCGCTAATAACTCGATGAACCACAATATCCAGTATTGAGTCCTCCGAATTCAGTAGGTGGGACTATCTTGACTTGGCAACGAAGACACTGCGCTTACAATTACTTTTACGTTCTGTATTTAACTGCTGGAATAGGAAGTCAAGTCTCTGCGGCGATTTAATACGCCCCGAGGCAACGGGGCCTCCCGGCTGATTTGTAAGATCATGGCCGTCGATCTGAAAGATCTCGGCCGGTGTATCCTTAGAGCTAAGCGGTGGTATCCGATGGTTTCCAGGCGATAAGAGAAGGAAATACTGAGTGTAGATCAAGGGGGCAAGGCCTTCATGTACCTGCCGACCAAGGATGCTAGATAGTCAATTGTTGTTATTTAACTACCTCCTAGCATATGTCAACACGAACATGCTAATAGGTGGCATGATATAACTCGTTTATCTTGATTTATGCTGTTGGGAAGTACGGGGTGTTGCCGAGAGAGTTTAACTGGCCCGGCGATGGTGACAACGCGCACCGGCAGGACGGAGTAACTAATCCAATAGAGCAGGTGGTAATGCCAACCGATGTTATATTAAACTTGAGGCTCGAAGCTAACGCCGGGACCCAAAGAATGCCAGGATATGAATTGCCTTACCGCCACCCCTCGAGCCCAAAAGAAGCATTTTATAACATTTTCCTCGCCACCCCAACGGTTCCTTCAACTTATAAGCTTTGAGATCCGCGCCAAGCCAAAGGACCCAACGGCAAAGGAAGAAGGTCAAGATGATGTGGGTAACTATAGACGGTAATCCGACAGACCCGCATAATTCGACTATAGTCAAAAGAGCGATCTTAGCAAGATCGGGAAGGTCTGGCAGTTATGCACCGAAAACCCGAGATCTATAACACTTGGAGATCATGGTGGCCAGTCGTGTGACATCGCATCTCAGCTTCTAGATTTGCAATTCAGCTCGTCGAAGATCCGGCCATCTCCCGAGCTGATAAGCATCCTCGAGCGCCAAGAATCCGGATATTATAGATCCCTGCGACACGGTTTTCAGATTTCCCAAGTTTGCAGAACACGATCATACCCAAAATCCCAAACACGACTCTCCCCTCGCTGCCGGGTAAATTATCCTGGATACCTACCACATGGAGAAAAGCTTTTTCTTCACCGGGTCCTCGCGAATAGATTGATAACGCGATATGCTGGGGGGCCAATTGTAACTCTGTTCCTGGGAGATGTTGTTATCATGATTAATGGGGGTAACAACCAATGAATACGGCTGCTAATTCCGTGACTCCGCCATGTTCTCCGACAGGACGACCGCGTTGACGAGGTGGAGCGAGAATGTTATCTTCCTCCCGTCGGATCTGTAATGATCTCCTTCCGAAGTTGGAAGACGGCTTGTTATCGTCCATACGATTCTCCCCGGACGTGTTCCTGCAGCATCGTCTCCGTGACGGACGAGTAAGATTGACACACTACCTCGTGTCTCTGCCTGAATCAGGATGCTGGTCATTGGTTAGATTGTTAATGCTGGCGACCTGTCACGAGGTTACTTCGACTACCGTGTTGATGTAGCTAGGCCAGGTCATATCGCCGTCGAGAGTATGATTCCATCGGCTTGGCGTCTAGTTTTAACGCTTGAAGGATACAGCCTTTTCCTACCCTGCCTTGCAACTTCCTGAATGCGTCTAGAAAGAAACCATCGTTCCAGAAACATACATCAGCCAAAGTCTTCGAGTTCGACACCGCGCACCCGTCGGCTATAAAAGGCCCCCTTCCTCTCTTCCAAGTTGTGAGAAACTCCTAGCCAGTAAGCAGCTCGAACAAGGTCCTCAGCAGCTCACAGCCAGTCCGACATAATCCGAATATTTTCAAGATGAAGTTCACCACCGGCATCTCCCTTTTCGCCGCTGCGGCCAGCGCTCTTTCGGTCGACCTGAGCAAGCGTGACTCCCCTCTCGATGTCAAGCTTGAGATGGTTGGCAACACAGCCGTCAAGGCTAGCATCACCAACACGTACGTAGGAGCTGAGTTCCTAGGAATTTCACTCTTCCCCTCAGAAGTCTAAATGGGGTTGGTTTAAGAATTAGAGCTGACATGAATTCTTAGTGGTGCTTCTGACCTGAAGGTCTTCAAGACCGGTACTTTCCTGGATGAGAATGCTGCCACTGAGAAGGTTGCCATCTACCAGGGTGGTAAGTTTTCTGCAAATGCGTTATGGACCATTAGAAGAGACTAACTCGGCCTGCTAGGTAACAAGGTCCAGTTCGACGGCATTCGTCTGCGAGTGCAAACCACCGGACTTGACGAGGATGCCTTCAAGACCATCGCTGCTGGCGAGACTGTCGAGGCCACCTTCGACGTAGCCCAGGCTTACGACCTCAGCGCCGGCGGTAAGTACGACGTTGTCTCCCTGGGAGCCATGTCCTACGCCGAGCTCAACACCACCGACCTTGCCGGCATCTACTCGGTTGCTGGAAGCACTACCACCGCCGAGATCGATGGCGCTGCCGCTAAGGAAGTTCGCCGCCGCTTCCACGCTAAGCGTCTCGCCGTCCAGTCTGATTGCACCGGAAGCAAGCTTAGCGCTACCAACACGGCCATCAGCAACTGCCGTTCTTTGGCCTTGGCCGCCCAGACTGCTGCGACCTCGGGCGACGCCGCTAAGGTGACCGAGTACTTCAAGTCGAGCACCAGCTCTACTCGCAGCACAGTCGCCAGCTTCTTCTCCAGGGTAGCCAGCCAGTGCGGCAGCACTACGTCGGGTGCGCGGCTCTACTGCTCTGACGTGTATGGCGCGTGCACGAGCGGTGTCCTTGCGTACACCTTGCCTTCAGCCCAATACGAAGTCAACTGCAACCTGTACTTCACCGCGCTGCCAGCCTTGACCAGGACTTGCCACGCCCAGGACCAGGCGACCACAACCCTCCACGAGTCGACCCATCTCTACGGCACCGACGACTACGGCACCTACGGATACTCGGGTGTCCGCGGCCTTACGGCGTCCCAGAACTTGAACCACGCCGACACCTATGCGCTTTTCGCCAACGCCATCTACGTTGGCTGTTAAACGTGTTGCTGCTCACTAGTTGTGCTGTCAGATAGGGGGCTATTATTTCGGGGATGGAACGCTAATACTGCTCAGGGGAAGACAGAAAGAAATAAAAGAAAGGAAAAAGAAAGACTGTCCAAAAGAGTTTAATTTTTTTTCTGGCTTCCCCTAGAAGGAGCTTGTCTAAGGAAATGCTGTTTCGTGCACTGTCTTCTTCTGACAGTGGGACAAAGCCCGCAAGAAGGCGGGGAGCGATCGCAAACTTCTCTTGGATACAAAAGCGGGATTCACGTGTCATCCCACGATTGTATTGTTTTTTAATACGCAAATACATGTCTTTATCTAGTATCACAAGGCAATTGTTCCGTCTTATAGGCATCCGCTTACAAGTGACGTGGTTTAAATATCAGAAATCACACGTGTTCAGGTACCGGAGTAACCATCACACTTCACACTTCATACTTCACCATCCTTACCTAGATATTGGCTGGCCATTGCACAATTTAGATTTTTCTTGCTATCCTCAGGAAGGGTGTTTCTTACCAGTTTAAGTTTTGATCAGCAAAGCCCATATCGAGTCCGTTTGAACGATACGGACTCAAATTTCTTCTCGTCTCTCTTTCGACTTATACCCACCCCCTTCGGTTCCGTGCAGCGCACTTACTTTTCGCATACATACCTACCTAGATAATCATGCAGCCTTGGCAAGCGTCTACTACACAATACGAACATCACCAAGCTGGGCCGCAAATATGCCAAGATAACCCGATGGGCGATATGCGCGATGCTAAGAATTCGGTTGCGTTGTTCGCCGATTACATCAACCGGCTACAGCCTGAGATCTCCCGGCCGCACAGCACCGTTGATCTCCACAGCCTTTCGTCTTCCACGGTTAGCCGCCAGGGATCCACCGGCTCTGTAGATGGATCGCGCAGAAGTTCATCGAAACGGCATCATAGAAGCGTGAGGAAGGAATGGGCCGAATCACCCCAGGGGACGCTTTGGAATCATATCAGTAACACACTTCGAGAAGTCGCGGCTGAGTTACCGGACGTGAACCCCACGGCGATCCAGGAATTCATCAGCGCGCGAGAGATCTTGGAGCTAGGAGCTGACTTCGTACGCTGCTACCGCGAAAGTAGCTATGCTATGGAGAAGCCGTACTGGGTGGCTGAGGACTTATTCTTCGATCTCCAGTCCGTGAAGCAGGGCGACGTGGTGCCTAACCGGTGGACACGTGCGCGTCCAGAGAAGAGAGTAGGATGGGATCTAGCGGACCATCTCACGCGTTTCGTGCTATTGGCAGACAGCTTCCGTAGTCGGGCGAATCGTCAGGACTGGAATACATGGAGCGATGGTTTCGTGAGAAAAGTTTCCTTCTACCTGTGCATCTTGCGATGCTTCACAGTCAGAGATGCCGAGCAGAGACAGGCCGCGCGAGAGGCTGCGCGAGACCGAGACTTGAAATTCTTGAAGAAAAAAGGCTCCCACAACAGCGGCAGTAGCAAACTATCTCGCAAGAGCAAATAACTGCTAGTGGATGCTCTAGGGAAGAGACCAGTAATCGAGGATTACGCGGGCTATCGAATCCATACCAGGATATGGAGGAAAGAGAAGGAAGCGCGAAGCTAAGTACCAACAGCGCAAGGACGCCAGTGACATCGTGACTCTGATGAAGTTGACCAGCGAACAAGTACAAGGCCAGGAATACATGTGCTGTATTCGAGACGAACAATAAATTGATACCAAGATACCAAGATACCAAGATACCAAGATACCAAGCTACCTAGGTAACATAGCAATGCCATTAATAATCTTTCTGACATGCGTAGATTCACATTAGTAAGTAATTCTGGCTTGGATTGTAGGAACACTTAGCAACTCTTAATAATTTGTCTCATTGGGACAATGAACGAACAACTATGTTGGGGAGACGGACGCTTTGTCGAAGGCGCATAAAGAAAACGGATGGAGGAATGATAGTATGTACAAGAGGTGGGAAGAAGTATTCTAGTTTTATTCAGATTAGGGCCAATAACATGAATTAATACAACGATTGGATTCTTGAATAAGAAAGTAAGAGAGATTGGAGAATTGACTGAAATGAAAAACATTGAAAGGTGAGGATAGGTACCTAGGTACATACCTAATGTCTTAGGTACCTAGGTATGCATGTAGGTACTTCTATGTAATTAAAGAGGTCTGTGTACATGTGCATGTACATGTACATCCCAGCGCGGAATGCAACAAAAGCAACCTCGAGCGTTGCTTCCAATCGCGCCTTACATACTATTGTCTCAGTTCGTTAAGTCACAATTTAGCGTTTGTACCTTTTCTCGTCATCATTAAACTTCACAGCCTTCCTCCAGCTGCATCTTATCCTCCAAGTCTCTTTCCGTACATAATTTAATCCAATCCTTATCTGAAAATTCCTTACTTGAAAGTCTTTCTATTCAAGGCATCGCGCGCCTTCAATCCTTTCCCCGAAATTTCGCGCTCTTAATAAATTTCACTACTCATCGTCTCATCATGGAGGAGGAATCTGATATTGAGGATCGCGTCGCGTTTGAGCACGATGAGGATCTTGATGAATATGGCTCTGACGAGTCTAGCTTAGACGATGCCAATGGGTTTCTAGACATGGAAGCTGCCGAATCCGATGGCGAATCAGAGAATTCGGATGATACATCCTCAACCAAGGAACAGTTCTTTTTTCCCCAGTTCAAATCACTACCTCCCGAACTTCGCGCTCGCATCTGGGAGTTCTTCGACCCGGATCTTAGAACAAAGGCGCGAGTATTTCACCTGATTATCAGGACGAAGCCAATCGAGTTCTGGAGAAGCGCAACTCTAATAGAACAGACTGCGCCGGCGAGAGCAATGTTGGCTACATGTAAGGAGAGTCGCGCGCTAGCATTGAAATCATATCCTGATACTATTGATCTGCATCGAGGAAGCGGTGTTGTTCGCTACAACAGTGAGAGAGATGTCGTACTCCTCTCTATTAACTGTATCCTCGGCCCGGATGACATAGAAGAGTTCTTTTCATCTCTCGGGAGTATCAAATACCTTGCCTTTAACTACCTTCGCGCAGCTAATGAGGAAATCCTCTATTCGAGGCTGGCGACTCATCCGACGCTGAAAGGAATATTTTACTGCTATGATTGTTACGAGTATTCTTCCCGCGATTTAATGTGGTGTATATCCGATTCAGTTCAGCGCTTCTACACCCAGCAGACAGAATATGACGCAGTATTGGGCCCACAACCTTTGAGATCTATGTTTTGCTGGCCGGATATTGAGAACCATCGAGAGTTCGCTGAAAAACATGCCCAAACTACCGTTGGACATCTCAAACCCTTAAAAATTTGGTCCATGATCGAATTCGGATATGACGAGGGGGCCTTCCGCTACGAAAGACTCGAAGCGTCGGGCGAGCGGGCCGAAGGATGGTCCTCCGATATGGAAAGCGAGTCCGATCTTGAACTTTCAAGTGAGGATGAGTACGAAAGCGAGGGAATAGATGATGCAACAATTGATAGCGATGGTGGCTCAAATGAGGATGAAGACGATTTAGTCGTGCAATCTGGCTCCGACGAAGATAGTTTGTCTACCTTGAACGGATTTTCTCCCATTCAGGACGAGAACCCTGAGCTTCATTTGGACGGCGAAATAGAAGTCGGCAATTTCTCTAGCCTTGAGCCCGAGTCTCCTAATCATTATGATAATGGTTCGGAGCAGGATGGTTCCGACGAGGAGCCTGTTCAGAAGACCGCCCGGCGCAAACGTCGTATTGTGTCTTCGGACGATGAAGAGGATCCTAATGATGAGCACGAAGAAGTTAAAATGCCGTCGCGACCTGCTAAGCGAAGCCGCGTCGTTCTTTCCGATACCGAAGACGAGGACGAGGACGAGGACGATGAGGGTGAAGGCGAGGATATAAAGCAAGGCTGCAATATTGCATACGAATCGGAAGAGTCTTATGAGTCCGAAGATGAGGACGAGGAACCTGTGAAGACGAAGTCGATGTCTCTGTTTGAGAAGTTGAGGCAGTATCGCCAAGAAAACCCTGTCCCTCCGGACCCAGATGCTAGCTCGGATATTGAAGCATCGATAGGCAGTGAAGGTTTGGATACAGGCAACAACATCAACTTCCCGGACGATGAGATCGAAGATGAAGACGAGTTATTGGAGAACGGCGGAATAACGGCGGATATGTCTGAAGAGCATTCCGAGGGCGATGAAGATAATGAGGATGGATGGTGATGAATTGACTCTGTGCCATAGATCGGTACGGGGTATGAAGATGTCGGTTTCCATTTTAGCATACGGCAGCGATGGACTTTAGAGCGGCGTTAATTCTACTTGACTATAATTCGGATTTATCTAGGCGCTCGTTAGAGGGCTTCTTGCATTTGTAAGAATAGCATGTACGTAGTATGGAGTCTTGGATGGGCAACAGGTCTGGGAGCATAAGCGTCCTGGATTTGGGTTGAAATCGTTTACTATTTAAGCACGTCCAAGTATTAGTGTTTATTAGTTGACTGCGGTGATTTAATCTACAGGCTTGGAGTATGCGTTGAACTTAAGATACAATAATGCAAATTATCTTGGACGGCATATTGTCTTATACGAGTTGGTGAGATCTTAAGAATGCGCTGGGTTATGGGATACTGGGTACACTACCCCTAAAGTTTACGCTCAGTGCTTCATTACCTATATAAACACTATCTAACTCTAATCTTGGTAGCATTTATACAAAGGCCGCTATACTCCTGCCCTAAAATAACCAAAAATACCTATGTACGTATATCTAGACCCTATCATATATCCAACATCTCACAGTTACCAAGCATAGGAATTGTCCAACATGAGGGGAGTTCTATTCTACCTTACTCCCCCCACTCCGCGGCCTCCCGTCATCATTGGCAGGCTGGCCCTCTATCACCGCTCCACCATTCCTATCCTTACCACGTCCACCTTTCCGGCGATCAAGCAACAGCCACAGACCAAAGACAATCGCGGTGGAGGGCAGCGTAAACGCCCAGTAAACCCAGAACCCGGGGTTGCGGACGACGCCGGCAACGGACTCGGCGTGCCAGTCTAGCGACGGCAGCGCGAATAGTGCCGCGAAGAACGTCGCGGGTAGAAACGCCATCGTCATTATTGCTACCGTTCGCATGCTCGAGCTGTCGTGCCGCGTCGCCTCCGCGATCCGCCGGCTCGCGTCTGCTAGGTCTGCGTGCGTTGTGGAGTCTTCGTGCGTTAGGAGTGCGAAGAGCTTTTGCGGCTCTTGTTAGCTGTGGTTTTTTCTTTGGATATTCATTATGGATATATATTTGCTCTATGTCTAGGGGGTAACGGAAGATAAATTAAGGCAAGGTAAGGAGGTAAGGATATGAATGACTGTTCTGGGATGAGTCTTACCACCGTTGACAGGCGCTCGGCGCGCTCCTTGAGATACTTGAGATATTCCTGCGAGGCATGCATGCGCCTCCTCAATAGAGGTATCGCCGCGACCAGGCGACGTGTGCTTTTATCTTAGACCGCGGTTCCGTATCCAGCGCCCGGCAGCAGCGCACTATCAAGCACGAAGTCGAGGACGGCGTCTACGAGGCGGAAATGCCGCTCGTTGTTGGCGATATGGTTTAGCACCTCGCCAACGTCTTTGATATATACCGTAATCGACTCCATCCCTAGACGCTCCTCAATACCACTCGAGTGCCTGCTATAGCCCGTCTCACGCTCTGTGAGCCGTACCATGTGCGCGCGATATGAGATTTCGCCGTCGAACATACAGCACACGCTTAGGGCCGTTACGTATGCGAGCAGAAACGGCGAGCGCAAGTGTTCCTGGTGCCGCCGCAGCACGTTGACGAACCAGGCCGCGGGCGCGCTGCTACTAAAACTATGCTGCTGCCGTAGGATCCATAGGGCGTGCGTCTGTAGGGTCCGTTGGTTAAACGTCCATACCAATACAAAGTTAGACGTTCCGACATAGTACGTGTCGACATCTGCCGTCGCGCTCTCCTCTCCCAGATCCTCGTCATAATCTACATAATCGACGGAGGAAGAAGGGAAATAATGAAAGCCGTCATACTCGCAGCGCAGGAGCCATAGTGCCGCCGGGCTCATGTGCATCGCATCAACAAGCCCTAGGAAGACATCCTTGGTCACCCACAGCGAAGGAAAGGGGGTGGACCACGACTCTAGCCGGCTATCGACTACGACTAGCTTGAGCGAGGCAGGCGGCGGCGGCGGCGTAGTTGCTGCACTCTTGCGAGGGTCGCCGTTAATCGGTCGTTCTCTAAAGAACTTGGATAAGTGGCCGAGCTTCAAATCCTTCTCGATGTAGGTCGTCGGGCCCGAGGGCGAGGAATACACGGCGATGGCACGGAGCTTGGGATCGGGACCGAGCGCCGTGTCGCCATACCGCTGGAAGACCTCAAAGTTCTCACGGGCCAGCTGAGCAAACTCTTCCATACTGGTAGCACAGGAGACCCGGAGACTTCACTAACCTAGTATTATATATATCATAGTTCGAGTGAATATAACAGCAACACGAGTGCTTTTTTTTTTCTTAGTTGTGACTACGATAGATTATAGTGAAAATGAAGTACGGGAGCAATTGAGACGGTAGCTACCTATCTAGCAGTCACTTGGTTACCTCACCAGTGATCCTGTCTTCGGAAGGATGAGCAGCAGCGGGGGCTGAAACGGATGCAACTCAGCCGCGATGTCTCCTCCCAACCCCAGCACATCTTTACCTCCATGCTCTTACAACCTGGTAGCATTGTACAATACTCAATGGTGTTAAGGTCCGGTGAGGGAACCGACACTGAGGCGCTCACATCTCTGAAATGTGCTAAAAGAAATAGTTATAAGGCCAGAACGGCAGTAATTGATGTGATATTGGACATACCGGCTAAGTTGCACACGAGAAAAGAAAAAGAAAATAGTACGATTAATGTAGAAAAATAAATGCATCAGCCGCGAATCGAACGCGGGGCCCATCGATGGCAACGATGGATTTTACCACTAAACCACTGATGCTTAGATGTAAATACGCGGGGTTTTTGAATACTTGTAGCAATGTTACTAACCAGTTATCCCAATGCCGCTAGAAACAAGCGACAATAACTTCTAGGTTAGCGCGTATTTCTCTCACTAAGTCATGTCACTGAGTATCCGCGTGCTTTTCATCCTGCTACAAATTGAGTATGTACTAGGTTATTGGTTTCTAAATAAGCCCGTCTCTCTTTGCTTCAACCTTTCCTCTAAGAACCCTTCACATCAATACCAATTTTCCAGGTCCGCCGACCTTTCTCGTCGCGTCCCAAGTCCTGAAAATCCCCGCTGTTTTCCGATTTAACAGGACGTTCTTCGCCAACGGGCAACACCAAAGTAACGCCGTTCTTAATCCATAACGGCTCGAATTGGCTGTGTTTTTGGAATTCTACTTTGGCGCGGATCTCGTCGCTTGATACGCCGTAGGAAATATTAACCTCGCAAAGTGTTGGCTTTTCCACGGGACTTACACCATCGTCCTCAAGCCATGTGTTGTGGAACCATTTCGTCTCCGCAGACGTGTTAACGGGTGTTGAAAGCTCATTACCTTTAGGCCAGTGAGGGTATTGAGCTAGTGGCGGAGGGAATATCTCGACCGCTCGGTAATCATCCTTTTCCATACCTGGGAATTCCGGATCTTCCTCGACGAGACATGTAGTCGGCTTAGATTTTCCTGTAGGGATAGCAGATCCGATGCGCGCAAGCACGGGGATTGAGCTATGCCAAGTTGAAGAAATCTCGTGCCACTGACCGGCCTTGAGGTATTGATACGGCGCCGAAAGGTTCAAGAATCCCAGGTCGTTCCCGCTTTGATCTGGGAGGTAGACCTTTGCGCTTGAAACCCCGGGTTCATAGACGCCTGCGATGAGCAGAGCATCCCCGAACCAGTATTGCGAGTCTCCATTGAGGATCTCCTTAGTCCAAACTGTAGGATCAGACTCATAACCCCAGCCGGTCCATCGTTGAGGCGGAATTGCCTCTCGATGGGACTTCAGCATGAGGGAGTACGTATACGGCACTAACTCGTATCTACGCTGCATCGCCTTTCGAATAATTGGCGTCACGGACGGATATTGCCACGGCTCAATGACATCTCCTATAAGATTATCGTCGGGATTGGTCTTGTAGCAGTTGATAGTGAACCGTGGTGAGTGGATGCCAAGTTGTATCCAACGAACGAGATGCTCTGGCGTCGGCTGAGGACCTTCAAAACCGCCAATATCATGGCCATAGCACTGTATAAATAAGATACAGAACTTTTAGGTGTGATGAGACTGACTTGATACTTACCTGGAGTAGAGAGAAACCTGCGTTTAACGCCAACGCATTTGCACCTTTCATCCCTTCCCAACTTGTTACGTTGTCGCCACTCCACGAACTGGCGCAATATCGCATGGTACCTGCTGTTGCGCTACGTGTGAGAACAAATGGACGAACCTCGGGTTCAGCTTCGATTGTCGCATCATGAGAACTCTTCCCCACGAGCTCGGTATGTAGCGCTCTACCCCAGAGTCCGACATTCTTACGAGATTCACCAGGCGGTACGGTGACAGTCTCGAGAGCGCATTGCCAATCGTCATTGGGGAGATTGTATTCGTTGTTATCATTCCACATAGCGTCGATCCCAACCTCCTTAAGGGCCTTCACTCCATTGTACCACCAGTTGTATCCCGCCTTAGAGGTAAAGTCAAGATGACTGCCTTCTCCGCTCTCTCCTCCTCCGGCGCTCCAAAGTCGCGCGACTGCAGTATTTGAAGTATTCGGGTCCTTGAAGAAAGCACCGGACTTCGAAAGCTCTGCATACGCTGGATGATTTGCGAGGACATATGGCTTAACGTTCGCCAGAAGACGAACACCATGCTTATGGGACTCGCGTGTGAATTCCCGCGGATTTGGGAAACGGTGATAGTTCCAAGTAAAAACATTCCTGGTCTTGGGCTCGGTTTCGGCCACCGTATATCCCGAGCTCATCTGGAAAGCTGAGCACGGCATACCATGTTTTTCACAGTTCTTGAAAAAGTTGAGGATAGATTCACATCCGCGCGGAGAGTCTTCCATGGTATATTTCATGCCGCCGCCGATGTAGCCCATCATGTACCGAGGTACGAGCAACGGAAAGCCTACCAGTTCGGCATAAGATCGAACAATGTCTGCCACTGTCTTCCCAACGATGAGATACTCTTCAAGCCCACCGTGAGCCTGCCGGTAGACCTTGTAATGACCCCACATTCCATCTAATTCGGATCCAACAGCCCAAGTCGCTCGGGCATGAGAAGTCGAGAAAATGCCCACGCAGCCATTGGGAGTGACGTTGATCAGTAGAGGGATGTGCTTGTACAAGGGATCCGTCCGGTAAGCATCGTATCCAAAGGTATCACTTGCTGTTATATTAAACCCCCGACCACTGAGATTCATTGGTGCGGCCTTCTCTCCGAGTCCAACATGCAGACTATCCGGCTCGTAAGTCGTGTAATGAGCAATGCCGGAGCCATCCACAGCGTACGATCGGAATTCCAGGTCACGGTGGATCGGCTTCTGCTGGTCATCCAGGAAGAGAGAGACAACTGGTGTGTTTGACCAATTAATATCAATTTTGACGTCTCCAAGTTTTATAGTTTGAGAACATTTATTCACGTTAACATTGATCTCGGGAGTAACACCCCCAAGGGTAGGTTCCGGACGCTCTGCGCTGGGATGTGGTGGTAATAAGTGTTGGGCGGTTGTGAAAGTGGTGCGAAACACATTTGGACGCAGGGCTTCGAATATGAAATTGCATGTTTCGTGGCTATTTTTGCCGTTAGAGAGGAGTGTTAGGGAGGGAGTCTTCTCCGAGCTGGTCTCGTGCGAAGTGTCCAACACATAGTTGGTTGGTATATATTCATACTGCTTGAACATCTTTGGGGCTTATACGCAATGGATGACAAGCGAGCAATGGGGAAAAGGTATCTGGGTACTTTATTTCCAAGAAGCTATATGACTTCTAATAAGAGTCACCTGTGGTAGAATTGAGACAGGGGTGGCCTGACATGGAATAGAGTCTCGAACTATGTTCATCGCAAGTTCCTACTAGAGTTCCGAGTAAATGTAGGAAGCACCGTATTGATAACTCAAGAATTGCAGCTACTAAGACTGAGGACTAAGTTAAGATTACCTCATAAGAAAACCCCGATGAAGGTTTAAAAGAGAATTCCTTGCGGAGCAGGCGGAGCAGGCGGAGCGGGGGGTGGTGATGATCCATGTTGGAGAAGACACCGCGAGGTCGGAAAACCAGACTATTATCCCACATGACCATGTCTAATGCATATGTTTACGCCTCTTACTCCGCAAGAGCTTGTATGCGGGGGCTCCGATCACCAAGCACGGCATTTCACGACGGCGGGAGGAACTTGGCTCTTTGAACGTCGCCGCATCCGTGATTGGTGCTATTTTGAAGTTGTCGCGTAGCCGGGTTAGCCAATCACGGTTGAGAATTGGCCAGGTTGGCTTTTCTCGGACAGAGATAGGCCGGCGGGACCGGTTCGGGCTTGGCATATTGTCGTAGCCCCCGGCGCCGGATGGTACGTAATGGAGTTCATATGCCAATTCTAGATCCGAAATAGGAGTTCCACGTCGGCTTGCCGATGAGCTAGTCTCAGATGGGGTTAACCGAGCGCTGGGAAGTGGTCTTGTCGAAGCCCCTTCTCCTATAGAGGTAGCTATATCGCCGAAATAGGGGCGAAATAGGCACTTGCAATTGTTAAATGTAGATCAAGCTTAATGATATAGAACCCTTATGTCTGTTTTGGGTTATTGTGTTGCGAAGAACAAAATATAGGTTCAGGTTAAGTGCCTTAGGTACATTAGGAGATATTTACTCAATTATACTAACTCAATAACAGACAATCTTTTATCATTTGGTTAGCATTTACACTATATCTTTTCGTTCATCTTCTTGTTCATCCTCTTCTTCGTCCTCTTCTTCCGGTTCTGAGCCACTACCTTCAGACTCAAATCCGAACTCATAGTAATCTCCCCCTGTCCCAAACTCATAGCCAGGTCTTAGGAGACAGCAAATCTCATGACAGCCATGTTGTATTGCCAATGTAAAAGCTGACATCCCGTCCGCATCTACTGCGTTTAAGTTTGCTCCCCCTTCTAGTAGCATCTTGACTATCCTATATTCCCACTGGTAGACTGCTGTTAGCAATGGTGTAAACCCATCTTTGTCCGGCCTTTCAGTATCAGCCCCTGCTTTGAGTAACATCCGCACGAGTTCTTCGTCGCCGCCAAGAACAGCAAGATGGAGAGGCGTCAGCCCTTCACGCGTCTCAATGTTTAAATCAGCCCCCTCCTCAATTAGTATTTCGACTATATTTCGGTCTCTATAATCAGCAGCAAGCGAGAGAGGAGTATTTCCTAGCCTGTCGATTGCGTCGATTTTAGCTCCCGCTCCCAAAAACATTTTGACCATATCACAATCACCGAAACGAGATGATATATGGAGTGCAGTCATGTTCTCCCTGTTTCCAGGTTTGTTGACGTCGGCGCCATTGTCGAGAAGTAACCGGCAGGTTTCCTTTTGACCCCAGCCAGCTGCTACGCCGAGGGGGGTCATATTTCCCTTTTGGTACCCGTTAACATCAAAACCGTCCGAAAGAAGAGCTTGAATTTTATCGATACGGCCTCCGCCAATAAGTTCCAGAGCACGGGTAACTGCAAATTCGTAGTACGCTTTATTCTCTGCCTGCACTTCTTTCCGTGCCTTGAGAGATGGGTCTCTTTTATCCTGTTCCACCCGCTCAACTATCTCGTCCCCGCCATGGGTTTTCCCTCTTAGCATTTCTTTTACCAACTCATGGTCCATCTGACATGCTGCCTCTAAAGGGGTCCATCCATCTTCGTCGACCATATCAATTTCAGCACCTTGCTCGAGGAGTAGTCGTACCATATCATCCCGTCCACTCAATGCAGCGGCGTGAAGCGGCGTACACCGGAATGAGTCCTCGGGGTTAACTTCTGTAGTTTTATCAAGTAGAAGCCTCATGATTTCTTCAACCCCATCGTAAGCAGTGGCGTGAAGCGGAGTTACACCATTTCGATTACCTAAATCAGGCCTCGCCCCTCGATTTAGAAGCAACTTCACTGTGTCTTTATATTCACCTGGCGCGGTCCAATACAAGGCAGTGTATCCATTCACATCAGTTGAATCAACATCGGCTCCGTGATCTAACAGCTTAGTTGCTATTCCTTGATAGCCTGACGGGGCTGCCGAGTCAAGTGGCGTCCATCCCCATTTGTTCTTTAGTTTTGGATCGGCATTATGACCCAGCAGCTTTTCTACCACGGCTTCTAGGCCTGCCTCTGCCGCATACTGTAAAGGTGTCGATCCATCTCTATCCCTTGCGTTAATGTCGACGTTTGCTTCAGTAATAAGTATTTCGATCACCCCTAGGCGATCAGGGGCAATCGCGTAGTGTAACACTGTTCGTCCATCCTCATCTCGGGCTAATACATCGCTCTCTCGATGTATTAGTAACCTGACTACTTCCTGGTGTCCTCCCATAGCCGCCATCATTAATGCCGTTCGGCCCTTGTCGTCGCAAATATTAACATCGGCTTCTTCTTCGATGAGAGCAGCAGCTATATCCCTTAAGCCAAGCTGTGAGGCGAACCATAACCCATTGATATTTTTAGCATAGGCTTGGCTCCGCCCACGGAACTTGTAGTTGTTATCCTTTATGGTTTTTGCTTGAACGGCACTGAGTAGCAATCCCTCGGCTCTGAGGAAGTTAATGATCTGGTCTTTAAGAGCCAATTCAAGTCTATCACGCACATACTCCCCCCAATATTGTGCTGCATATGAGTAGAACGGGTTCTTGTCCACACGGCTCGCGAAAGAATCATCGTCGTTACAAGCTCCGTTGGAAAAGACATCATCGGAAATATAAGAGAGGCAAATTTCTGCTAGGTCCACATCAATATCGAATGGAATTTTTGCACAGCGGGTGCTAACAAGGTACTCCTTCACAGTTGCATGCGCAAGGGTGACAAGCCTGGTCTTCAACTCGATAATGACGAGACCATGGCAAGCGGTTAGTATGTCCTGTTCCCGAATATTGAACTCGTCTCTTGACCTAGCTCGGGGAGATTTAGCGCCCATAAAGCGACTCATAGCTAACGCGTCTTGCAGCTCTTTGAAATGAAGGGGTCTCTTTGCACGCAGAACCCAACCGAGCGTGCGGAATCCAAGACGCCGTCGTATACCCGTATTGTCGCTCGATTTGATACGGTCCATTGCTTCATCATAGAACTGTTCCTCAGTCTTCCCGGGCTGACGCAGAGTCTCGCGAACATCGCCGGGTGATAAATACTGCTGTATTTCGTCCATCTGCAGTCGGACCAAGTTGAATCTACAAAACACGTAGATAATTAGCTCAGCCGGTATAAAAATATAGATCAGCCAGATTTTAAGACTTACATGCCGGAGTATTTGTCGAGAATTCCATTGATGATCTCGTCTCTAGAAAGATTGCCATTTTCTATCCACCTTTGTAAATGAGTGCTCCCGTGTTGCTCATCATTTATTCTCCAGTCAATATAACTCTTCACGTCATCTGGTAAGGGGGATATCTCCATTGCTTTGAAATAAGCCCCTAACCGTACTGCGTCCTCCTTTAAACTGTCAACTGCACCGACGTGCCGTGATGTGAATAGTAGGTGTACATCAAAGGAGAGTAGTGTCTTCACAAACGTATCGCGTACGCTCATGTGATTCTCATCGTATTCGGTACATTCGTCTAGGGCATCAACCACAATAAAAGTATGATCCAAACGGTGGAGAAGATCTCGGATGAGTGACTTGTATTCGGACAGCCCTGGGATTCTCCCTTGGTAAGAATAGCTATTGTAGAAAGACTCAGCATCCCCCATAAGTGGATTAGGTCGAGGAAATGGGAGTTCTGTCAGTTGTCTTGCAATGCTTGATATAAACCCTATTGCGGTCTGTTGGCCTTCATCTGCGATGCTACAGTATATATATGCAATGCCAATTTTACCCTCGGGGTTTTGGAAAGCATGTCTAAATCTTTTTTCTTCGAGATGTGTTACAATTTGAGACCTATAATACAGTTTCAGTGGTTATAATTTATGGTGTATGATGCGGCATAAAATACTTACGCAATAAATGTCTTTCCAGCCCCGGCTAAACAGCTATTAGTTCGATACCATACAGAAAGTTCAACGGCTTAACTTACGCAATCCAGTACAACACAAGACTTTGGCGTTGTCAGTTGGCCGTTTCCTTTCCCACTCCCTAAAGTTGTCATTGTTTAATACCCATTGCCCTATATTAGGCATTCGCCTGGCTGAATATTGTTGCTGCTTCTCTCTATAGGATGCATCCACTGATATGGAGGACAGAATCCTATCAACTTTGTTCTGCTTGATCCATTTGAAGAGGTTGATTTGCACGTCTCTTTCAACTTGCTCGTCTAACCTCTTGCGAGCACCTTCAAATGATTCCTTACTCATAACCCATGACTCGCTGGCTGCCCTACGAAATGCTGGTTTGTCTAAATGCTCTAGGCTCGCATTTAGGAAGTTGGTAGCCTCTATTAAGAATTCGCATGCTCGTTCTACTAGTTGAGAACTGTTATCGAGTTCGCGGAGGTTCTCGAGAAATGGCCCATAGTCATTCAGCGCTTCTAATTGCTGTATAATATCTTCTCCCTGTTCGTGCACGTCCATGGCAGCCGAAAGAACTAGCTGCAAGCCGTTGGCGGCGATCTTTACGGGTGAAAAAGATGCAGCATCCGCACTGAAGGAAACGATCCCGAGAACCATTCTAGTGACGGGGTATAGCTTCGCTGCATAGTGTGTTAATTTTCCGCGTGTCGTCTCGTCTCGTAGGAACCGTTGTTTAGTCACAACTCCTTCAATGTACTTCCCGAACACTATCCCGGATTGTGGTGAAGTGCCAGCTTCCTTCATAGCGTCTACCATACCCTTAGTAGTAAACTCAACTCCCTGGCTTCCATTACGTCTTTCGTGCTTGATAATGGTGTTGTTGAGTTTTGTTGTGGCATCGTCCAATTTTGATTTGATCACTTTGATTTTGTCTTGGCTCAAATGTTCGGTGCTGAAAAGCTGGAGCCCGATATTCCCTATCAAGATGTAAATACTCGGATTTATGAATTTCAGAATTTAAGGTAAGTTTACTTGGCCACGGTTCTGCATTGGAGACATCTTCCCCAAGCCCATTCCTTATAATTTGATCTTGAGAGGCTAAAGTAACAGGCTGAGACTGGCTATCTTGAGTTACGATAGGCGGTTGATTGCTGTACAGCGTAGAGGGGCAGCTGAGCGGGCTCTTTCCCTCACTACCCGCCTCATGTAAGTTTGGCAATTCTCTTCCAAAAATCTTCCGGAAAATTCTACGTTTAGAAAATGAAGCCATGATGAACGGTGCAAGTGTGAATGAAGATTTGATGTCGACACTTGGATGGATAGAGTTCAAGGCTTGAGGATTGCGCGATTTCGACCTTTTAAGAAGCAATGCTTGATCAAGGTAGGGGAGAAGGCTTACCACGTATCATTGCAAGTAGTCAGCTGAAAAAATGCAATGAAACCTAATAATTGGCTATGGTTATCCCTTTAACTCCCATTTGGTTACAGCACAGCCTGGCTGCCCTGGTCCCGATTGGTTAAAATACGTATAGCTGTCAAGTTATCTATGTAAGACCATAGATATACATTTGCCCATAATTCCTCGAGCGGTCTAAGGCTAGACAGCCGTACTATTTAGGGTTAGTATTTGTTTTCAACAGCTTTGCACATATTTAGATGTTAAAGGATACTACTAAAGTACCTGGGTACTTCTAAGTTAACCCTGCTTATAATTTTGTATACTTACTACATGTAAGTAGGAAGGTTTATGTTACAGTTACACATATTGATTATAGGTAAATATAAGTAGGTTAAGAAACCTATAGGAGTATGGAGTAAAATAAGTTAAGAGTACTCGCACGAAATTATCCTGGTTTCCTTTATTATTATCTCGTTAAAAACACCCCTTTAGCGCCACTATTCAGGCGTAAACTGTCACACGGATAGTAATGCTAAGAGATTGTTGGTTGAAGAAGACAACCAACAAGAGATACAGGATAACTATTTCAGGATTCATTGGATAAGGAATATCACACGACCATGCAGCTATATGCAGGCGGAGCCAACACATCGATAAGGACTCGGCTAGACCGAGAGATACGTACTTTAGATTGTTTACAAATAGGTCGAGATCTCCTCTTGGAAAGAAGGGGAGAACTAAGGACCTTGAGACCCTAGAAAATTATTAGTAATCCTGATTATATTCCAAGCCCTTTACAAGCCCTTGTTACATAAACTTACTAGCAATAAGTTTCGCGAACTCCTTACACATATTAAATATCAATTCCTTAGTAAAAGCCTTTAGACTAGAGAATCTATTAGTTTATAATGCCATTTAGAGCAGAAACCTATTACTTAGACGTTTCTGTTTTAGTGGATTATCGGTATCAACAAATGACTCGTTATGACTTCCTTAACGCCGCTTGGCTAACAGATACTAGGATGCCTAAAGCGTCCACATAGAGCTAAGTATTATGACTTAATCCCTAGCTAGAATTATCCAAAATTAGATGCTGTCATTCCACTACGAAACATCGATTTGATGTCGTCAGAATAAGGTGTTTTATTAATTACCGCGCAGCTCTATATTGGTCACTTGAGTAGGATATAAGGTACTAACTGATGTATGACTTATATATGAAGAATGAGCGTGATTCGTGAAGAAAGTCTTGGAAGGATTTGATATGTAAATATTTCCATATTCCACATAATGTTTGCGGTATATAGAAGTTCTGCTTACTTCAGGAGATGGTGACGAGACTGGCCAAAGGCATATAAATACATATTTGCTAACTGAAGACACTTCTTAGAAAATTATCCGGATTTTATATGCCTCTGTCTAAGCTAGAAAATGTCTTATGAACTTCAACATGTTGATGTTAGGTCTAAATTAGCTCGCCTGGGCCTTCGTAATTGAGACTAACAACGGGAGGCTCCGAAATAATCTGCTTGGATAGGGCCATAGGCCAATGTGTGAAAAACTATGGATCCTAACCTTAGGATAGCTATACTAAGCTGCTAGCTCGTAATGTACGCATTGCTACTGAGATAACTCGCCAGCTATCACGCCCAACATGTTGGCGACTCTTTTAAAAGTCGTATTGACTTTAGAGGGTAGGTTAGGTAAGTCAAACCACCCTTACTGGGGCCACCCTAGTGGGGGCCACCCATTTCCCATATAAAATCAACGATTTCGCATATCTGTATTTAATTCAAGAAAATAGATAAAATTATACAATCTTTGATTTTGAGTACGGTATTAAATTCTCACCAGGTATAAACTTTTGAAAAAATGGCAGGGCTAATATTTGTGGTAAAATGAATACAAGAGTATACATTAACAATTACATATAAAAATTTATATGTAAAGTTATTAAGGGATATTGAACTGGTATGGTGCCACAATGCCAAGAACAAAGGTATTATTATGTAATCTTAAGTCACAGACCATATAAAGATTTAATATTCGTCGTATTCTTCTGATCAAATAGCCACAATCATCATCATTTAATTATGCATTCAATATAAACACATTTATTATTTTTCCATATTTATAGCTTATGGCTTTATCTTGCGTATTTATCTTATATATCCTATCCGATTAATAGATCTTTACAATTCTTTTAAAGTATAATACTATCATCAATTATTTAAAGCCTTTTACGAAGATTTAAACGTTAAAGTAATATGCTATACTCTACAGGAGATACCAACTCCTATTCAATATTATTGCTTATAATTTTACTAATTAATATGGTATAAATGTAGAATTTATATTGTTAAATAAAAAACGTTTTAATATAACTTTTAAATTTAAGGCCAATTATATAACTTATTTATTTAAGAAGTTATAAGCGTTTATAAAGTTTTATGGTAATTTAATAAAATTTCCATATAAAATTAAAATTTTAAAAATTTTAAAAATAACATTAAAAATATACTTTATTATTTTACTATTAAAATATTAAATTTTAAATATAATAAAATATATATAAGCTATTATAATAATTGTAAAGTAAAACATAAGAGATTATATATTTTTATCTATTTTCTTAAATTAATTATAGACATGCGAAGTTGTTGATTTTGTATGGGAAATGGGTGGCCCCTACTAGGGTGGCCCCAGTAAGGGTGGTTTAACTTACCGTTATGCTACTGACTAATCATGTGAGGGTGATGCGAATTCTGAATTTGTGGTTTTTTGCAAATGTGAGTTATAATGTGAGCGTTCTTGAATACCTTGTATGTAGGGCCACGCGGCGGATGTGTTATTACGAAGAGGCTGAATATTGTCACTTGTTAAGTCAAATCGTTTGAAATGTGGAAGCTTCGGCTTCCGTTAGTTAACAAGTAAATGATTTAACTATCCAAAAGGGTATCACTAGCCTAGACCTATCTACCTCTAAGCCAACCCAACTAATCATACGCCTCTATAATACCGGGTATTGGATCTACCTATTCCAAACTGTCCCAAGAAGCATGTTGGAAGCCCTGATAGGGACTACGCTCGCGTTTCCCAACGTCGAGATAGAGCACCGTGTGACTCTAATTCGCTTTATTGCCGTATATCGACACCGATGCTCGCAAAATATTTACAATGGGTTTGAGTGTCTGGCGCCACGGTTTCCATGGTCGTATTGCCGCCTGTCTGAAACAAGAGTCGGTTCTGTTTTCCCTCGTCCCATTTCTTCCAGATTGCCGAGCCGGGGTATCGGTGTGTATTCGGATCAAATGTACGGATGAAACTCGTCCAATACGCCTGAATGACGGGGATAACTGGAACATTAATGCCGCCATTCTGATAACTCGCCGGTGCACCCCCAACATTCTCCGGGCCCCAGATTGCTGCCAGCTCTACAGTATGAGGCACACCTAACCCCTCGGCGAATTGGCCCGGATCCTCGACGTTGTAACGATAGTTGTATGAGCGGCCAACTCCGTATTTCCTCATTGCTGAAGATATATATAGTCCCGGACACATATACCTCATATCACCATAAACGTCGCTGACCTGGCGCCAGTAACAACCGGTGCTGGGGCAGCTGTCATTCTTATTTGGATACATAGAGCTGATCTTGTCTAGTTGATCTCGAGTTAGATAGGGAAACTGAGAACGCAGAAATGCCTCGCTTTCAGCAAGCGTCGCCGTGCTCCTTGGTGTGAAGGTTGTCCCTCCATTGGTATCATCGCCGTAAATTACGGGGATCTTGACAAACTTGCCGTTGGCGAATGAGTTGTACGTGTAGTCCGTGAGAAAGTCGTAGTCAAGTACTGGGTTCCAAGAATACAATGGTTTCGACATCTCTCCTGGATAAGGCAAGCCTGTATTTTGGCTCTGGAGTTCCGTAGCAGTCTTATTTCTCAGACAGTCGAGAGAATTAGAACCCGAGCATCCGACAAGGGCCGAGAAATTGTTATAAAGGTACTGGCTCTCATCAACGGTAAGGACCGTGGCGAATGATACTGACTCGGCTGCAGCGGCGTGGAACAAGTCGGTCTTCTTGCCATCGTATGCTACCATTTGAAGACTGATGCTAGCAGCGCCCGCCGAATCGCCGCCCAAAACCACGTGTCCCGGATCACCACCAAACTGGGAAATGTGGTTTTGTACCCACTGAAGTGCTTTCCGCTGATCGCGCAACCCATTATTAGGGGTAATTTTATCCCCATTAGTGATAAATCCATACGGGCCTACACGGTAATTAAAGGTGACAACGACAATGGAGTTCCCGCTAGCTTCAATTAGACCAGATCCGTTGAGATTTGGATTGCTGAGAACATTGAATCCGCCGCCCTGGATAAAGAAGTATACGGGTAAATTGGAGTGCCGAGTCGCGCCGGTGGGCGCATACACATCGAGAAACAAGCAATCTTCGTCATGGCTACTGTCTGGTGGGGAGTTGCTTGTTGACAGGCAAAGCTTCCCGTGCTATTATAAAAGCAAAGTGTTAGCAAGTGTTTCTATAAATTAGAGCTGGGAAACACGCACCTGGTCGGCTACTTGTGTTGCGTTGCTGCATGGGGGATCCTGCGGAGGCATGAACCTCAGGTTACCGACCGGCGGCGCGGCGTACCGCATGCCAAGCCATTGCGTGATGCCGTTCGGCGTAGCTACGCCGACATACTTATTGCATGTCAAATCGACAGCAGTATCAACAGCGACTACAAGGCAGCACAAGTGGCACAGCACGAGAATAGCCACCTTTATCGTAATCATTGAAGTTCCACGGGCCTCGGACAGCTCCGAGCGAGAACTCGACGATGTGTAGCGTGGATTAGGGAGGGAATGTAGGAGAGCGGCATTACCCAGGGCCTAGGTATCGCGGCCTTCATATACTTGATATAAGATGAGAGCATGCTTGAGATATACTTGAGATAGGGTACTGTATGGAGACCAGAGGGCAGGCTAATAAGCATTCCACGACATCATCTGACGGGATTCCACTCCGCCTTACGCCCTCTAGCTCCGAGGTCTGTTCTCACCTCCCTGAACTCCCCGAACTCCTTGTTTCCCATATCTCCCACGCCTCCCTTTTTTCGAAGTCTGAGGCTGCGTGACCCTGCAAGCTGACAGCATTCTAAGTTGTTGGACAGCCGGTGCATATTCTCTCTCGGGCCTAGACTAAAGAGTGCGAGTAGCGTGAGCGTGAGCAATCGACAGTATGGCCGCGTGACTTATAAACTGTAGGAATTCGGGTGTTAGATGGTAACGTTAAGCGCCGCCTCTGTGCGGGTCGCGGTACGCCATGCAGACGGCATGTTGACTCGAGATGCCCAGAGATGCGAATTTTGGAGAAGAAGCAAAGTAAAGAAGTACATGTATGTATATAAGTACCTAACCTAAGGTAGGTGTAGCCCTGGAGGTATGTACCTACCTAAAATATTTAGCATCGGACTATAGGTTTGTGGGGGAGCAGGGGATTAAACTTTTTACCATTATGATGTGCTGTGACGGGTGCCTGCCGGTGATGGATCCATTGATGTAGTCCTTGCGAACCGTAAACTCAATCCGGCGATTCATCAAAATGTGGGACTCTTATGGGGAACCCCAGAACAAAGTTTTGTCTATCGTTGCCCAATCGGCACTTAGGGCTGCTAAGCTAACGTACCAAATAGGTTCCGATGGTGATACAACGTGCTACGTTGGGTACCTAACTACCTAACGTATAAACCCCGTTAAATCTTGGCTCCCCTTGCAGATGGCTTGCATATATCGATAGGAGGATTGTCGTTAACACGTTGATACGAGAGATTGGTAAATATTGTTGAGATGTTGCTTTTTCTGTTAGGATGTTGCAATGTTGTAAGCTACCTAGGTAGGTACCTACCCAAATCAGTTATTCACTTCTTATCTACTGAAATCTACTGAACTTGGCCAAGGGATGACCAAGATAACTACCTACCTAGCAATAGCCGCGCAAGTTCTTACACATAAAACAAACAAAGCACATAATCATTGACCCTTTAGCAAATTACTCTTCTAACCTAGCATCTTACGACTCTTCGATCACACCTTGCCAGGTATTTTTTAATAATTACCTAAGGCCCTTGCCCCGACTTATACGCGACGGGATCACGCAAACAGACGTATAAGCGGAATTTGCTCGTCTCTTAGTGCGCAACTTTGCCGTTGCTTTTGAGCTCGGACAGTTCGTGTTTCTAAAATGTTCTCACGCGCGAAACGTTTATATATAATATGCATTGTGATATCTCTTGGCGACATCTTAGAGATCGGATCTTTAAACCCTATCAAGTTTTCTCATGTTGGAATGCAGGAGGTACTTTAGGTACCTACCTCTATCTATATACTATCACAAACAAGAGTCGCTGTTTCGCACCCATTTCTCGTCGGATCATCTGAAACTTGTAACGACGCGTTTGCCTGTAAAGCTCGGCTAAAACACTCAAGGGCGTTAAGAATGCAGCCCGAGTCGGCGGAAATGAGGCCCAAACTTGATTATTTGCTCTGTTAGTTGATGTAGCATTAGGTACCTACCTACCTACATACTATGTATACGATAACCCCTGGTCTATGCAGATTTCCGACGTCAGCATAGTTAATTTCCTGCTCCAATACTATAAATACCTTGGTAATTTACCAAGCCAAGGTAGTGTACACCCCGAATGTTGCATCTCGTATAACCTCGCCTATGTAGCCATCTTTTCAACCCCCCATGGTCATTTTATTCCACATAGCATTTATCAGCATTATGTGGTAAATTTTTATGTCGTAGCTTAGCTACGGCAAGTTAAAGAGATAATTCAAGCCATACAATGCTAGTTTGTAGTCGTAGTCAATTACTTATGTAATAAATGTATACGTCTTTACAAATACTCTTACAAACCTATCACTTAATTGTTTACGTATAGGCAACTAACAAATACCTCTAACGCCTAATTGGGTAGTTGGGTACCCGAAGACGCGGCAGTCTCAAACAATTACCAAGGCTCATAATGCTTTTCAAATATGATTATCACTATTAACTACATTATTTAATGTTTCAACCTATGGGTTCTCATACGCTCTTCATCATGTTATTATGTCACATTGTCGTATCCATACACCATAGCCAACACACACGCGATAGTTCTCAAGCACATGCACATATTCTGGCTTAGACGAGTAATAACTATAAATATTTACGCTATCCTTAGCTATGTGAAAAGTAAGCTTTATCACCGTAGTCTCATATTCCGGATGCGAGACGTCGAATTAAGCCAACAAATTTACAAGATACTCTTATAATATGACACATCGTACTTACGTTTAAAGTTGCGGCGAATGATTTTAATCCTTTGCGATAGCTCTATTTTTCTTCTTGGCCTTCAAAGTCATAAGGTAAACCAGAAACCTTTCAATAACCCTATGACACCAACAACTCGGATTTCAAAGTGTCTTTATGAGTTAACCTCGGGTCTCATTATAGACCCACGTCATAGTTTAGGGACCAAATTGTATGTTGCCGTTGATACGAGGAATAACATACCCCATATGCTTGGCATTTCTAATAAAACTACCGATAAAACTTGTTGCCCTCTGCTATTGACCTACACATCGTCGCGAAAGACTTGGGCCACGATAGTATCATGCATACATACAAACAGGTAAATTATTTCGTCTTAATCAAGCCCACAGTTTTGGGATTTGTTCTATAGTTATATAAATATAAGAAAATAAAAGAATCTCGAAACATCTCCGTATCTAGAAGAATGTCTACGCCGGTGAAGTTCATGTTTCGGTTATCGGGTCAATGATGCTCAACTATTTACCGTCCAAGACTGAGTACACCGGGCATGAAACCGGCAGTCATGATCACAAGCATGGCAATTGGTCCAGACCGATCTGTGTTTACCAAAGTGAGATAAGTTCTGCGTGTGACCTTTAATCCTTGACAAACACGCGGCAGCGTGCGGAGTAGAAACCACCATTCTGGTATAGAATGAGAGAGCATCCTGGTACTTCCCACTTACTCCTCATTACCGGACCTGGCTCTCGGTAACACACATTCACATCATATGCTTCGCTTATATCACAAGCCATCGTCAAGTCGCGGGCGACAAGAAAATACCTTACGATACCGCAATACCCGTTAAGATGAGTGTGACCAAAGCATCAGCAGCAGAAGCCGAATATGCCACTCCGTCGCCGAATCCCCATCAAGAAGGGCACGATGGCAATGGCAGCAAAGACATCGCAGCCTCGTTCCTCGCCAAAAATGTTGCGGGCCAGAGGGTATCTGTAACTCCTGCCGAGTCGGCGCGAGTCCTACGGCGCATCGACACCGTCATACTACCTATCATGCTGACAGTCTACTTCTTGCAAGGCCTCGACAAGACAACGCTCGCATACGCTTCAGTATTCGGGCTGATTGAGGACACCAAACTTGTGGGCAACCAGTACAGTTGGCTGGGCAGCATCGTATACCTAGCGCAACTTGCCATGCAGCCACCGCTGGCGTGGTTACTCGTGCGCCTACCTATCGCCAAGTTCACGAGCGCTATGGTGCTCCTATGGGGTGTATCTCTCACGTGCATGGCAGCTGCGCATAACTTTGGCGGCCTGCTAGCCACGCGTTTCTTCCTGGGCGTGTTTGAGGCGAGTGTTGCACCTAGCTTCGTTGCGATCACGCAGATGTGGTGGAGGAGACGAGAGCAGACTGTTAGAACTAGTTATTGGTAGTAAGTATACTCCAAAATTCTCCGATAGGCTGCATATTCTCGCTGGGAGTACAAGACGCTTTTGGCAGACTTGTATTGGAAGCATCTGCATTCCATACCTATGTGTATTGCGACTTCGAAGACGATCCCCGAGGACGTGCAAGATGGGTTCAACTATGTTAACGTTTTACCTTATAGTGCTATGAATGGATTTACGAATATGGTGAGTTAGCTCCAGCAGCTTATAAAAGGGTGAGTTGACTAAAGATGACGAAGTTCGGCAGTTTAATCACCTACGGCCTGGGCCACATATCATCGCAACTACATTCCTACCAGGTATTTAAGAATCACCAACGTGTTACCACGTTTACTGCTACGAAGGCTAATAACAACGTGTAGATCATATTCCTGTTTTTTGGAATTATCACGGTTGCATTTAGCTTTGTCATGTTGGCCTTTATGCCAGACTCGCCGGTAGAAGCAAAGTTTTTAAGCGACGACGACAAGCTAATAGCTGTTGAGCGGTTGCGCATGAACCAAATGGGAGTGGTATCACGCGAGTGGAGAAACGATCATCTTAAGGAAGCTCTACTGGACCCTAAGTCGTGGCTCTGGTTCGCGCTGTTATTCTCAATCAGTATTCCGTCCGGTGGGATTTCAACATTCGGACCGCTGATCATAAAGACTTTTGGATTCGATTCATTCGGGACTATCCTCTTCAACATCCCTTTTGGGTTCGTACAGCTAGTCGCGACTGTTGGCGGGGCTTTCGTGGCTCAGAAAATCAAGATGAAGGGACCTGTTATCGCCGCGCTTTGCCTACCCCCTATAGCCGGCTGTGTGATGCTTATGGTACTTCCTAGAGATGCTTCTCACCGAGCATCCCTTTTAGTTGGATACTATCTCATATCTGTTTATCCGGGAATCAGTGAGTACTATAATGAGATGCCCCCAAGTCAAATGCTAACAAATACTTCAAAGCCCCGCTCATTTACTCCTGGGCATCGCAAAACACGGCTGGAGATACGAAAAAGAAGTGTACCAATGCCATACTTCTCATCGGCCAATCTGTGGGAAATGTGATCGGTCCGATGTTATACACACAGACAGAAGCGCCAGGTTATACCAAGGGCTTACGTTCGAACCTAGCGCTCTATATTGTAATCATCGTACTGGTTGGGATAACCAGTTCATACCTCAAGGTTCTCAATGCGGCACATGCTAAGAGACGGGTCGCTATGGGTAAGAGTGCTGTTATTGTTGATACCAGCCTAGATTCTGCAGAGGAGGTAGCAGCGCAACAAATCCGCGATGATGCGGATAAGAACGCTAAGAACGCCGAGGAAGGTGATGTCGCTGCCGCTTCTACTGAAGTAGAAAGGCCTGGTGAGAGAGCATTTGAGAACCTGACTGACCTCCAGAACGAGGAATTTGTCTTTGTCTTCTAAGCTCCTAGGAGTATTTTAATACTTTGTTGAAGGGACATTTATGATATTCCGAGTATTAGACACAAAAGTACGCCCAAGTTGAATAATTCTATTATTCCCTAGATGGAATTGGGAAAATATTATATAGTACATTCTCGTAAAGTAGATAAATTTTCGTTTCTCGCTTGTACTATAGTATTAACAGGTATAAGCTTATAGAGCTTCCAAGATTGCGACCAACCCTATTTTTATACCTACCTAGGTTATGCAGTTGTTTGCTCCTTATAAGTCTTTAAGCTATTGAATCGGCTGGTCATGTCATTAAACTTGTAAATCTTCAAGTCCGCGTAAACCATCTGCTTTACGCCTATTATAGCCATACTATATCGATAAATATGTTATATAAACTATTATTTTGACACTATATAAATCCATTTATGCCATGAAGATTACAATAATTAGGTATTATTAATTCAAGGAACTAGCTAGATAAATTGTATTTGGAGGACAGATAGGCGTTGTTCGGGTTGAGAGTACTCCCCTAAGGTGTAATAGTGTTCTAGAGCTAAGTTTCTCTATTATTTTATTTATTCCTGATGGTGACTGTTCTTGCTAGGTTTTATGATTAGTTTCTTGAGCTCTCGATTTCGCTGAAACGTTTTATGACCATAATATATATGATTCATATTATCAAGTAACTTTTCGTGTTTGACTTGCTAGATAATACATGGCTATCTTAAAGCTGTGAGTTGCTTCACTTTAAGCTTCATATCGTTCGTAGTGACAACCTATCTTCAGATTTGCAAACGAGTCTGTTCAGCAAAAGCTCCATAATGAATTGATACGGACCGGATGTGTTCTGGGACCTTTCACTGCATAATTCATAGGACAATCCCGAATCTCTAACTTGTTAAGTGTTATAGATAAGTCAGACGGAAGCTTAAAGGATAGTGATATGATTAAGAGGAAAGGCCCGATGGTTTGAGTAGGCTGGATTATGATAAATCCGAAATAAGAAATTTGTCTTTATTAATTACTTTCTAACCCCTTTAAACATAATAGATTTTGGGTAAAAATGCCACCCCGGCAAGTAGTAACCTGGCTGACCTGTTGACGTCTTCATCTTGATAAAATCATCCGATCCATCGATAATCGATCATCTCTCCACGGATGACGCCAGTCGTAACCCGGCTCTGGTTGTCGGTCGCTAAGGCTATTAGCGTCACTGGGCGACCTGCAGATCTGGATCGGCAAATCAAACCATGGTTAAGAGATCGGTGTCCGAGCCGCACGTTCGTCTACCGGATTACGAATGGTTCGTGAGAAATCTGGATCCTGGTTCTGGGGTTTGACAAGCCTGAAGGAACAAGTTTCTACCCACACCAACCCATAACTCTGACGCAAGCCACATAAAGTATGCGTTCATGTGGCGTTTCTTCCAAGGTAAACATAATTTCTTACTGGAGGCATTACATCATATCGTATAGTGTGGCTCGTGAGAATATAGGCATAGAAACAGCCCTCGTAATAATATAAATCAAAGCAGAATTTCGAGCTGTTTGAACAAATATTTGTTATGGTCAATTCAGAATCTCCATCGATCTAATAACTACCAAAAAATCGATCGCTTGCTTCACTTGATTACAAAGTTATAACCTACAAAACTCAACTACGCCACAACAGACAATGTCCAACAACAACCAGAACGGTGGACTCCTCGGCGGTCTAGTCGGTGGAGTCGACAACGTCCTTACTGGGGGCGAGAAGGCTAATGGCCAAGGCGGTCTACTCGGGGGTCTCGGCGGTGCCGTCGGCAGCACAACGGAAGGACTCGGCAAGGGCCTGAACTCGACCACTAAGGGAGTTGGAAGCGCCGTGGGCCAGACTACCGAAGGTGTTGGCAACACTGTCGGCGGCGTGACGAACTCTGTCGGGAGCACCGTTGGCGGTGTTACCGGCGCAGGCGGAGCCGCTAAGAAGAACAACGACAGTGCATTTAAGAGCTACGGTATCTAATAAGGCAGGAGGGTTGGCGTATATGTAATGGGATATGATGAACGAATAAATGAACCTAGGACGTGGAAATCGGGTCTTGACTTTGAAAATGTTGGACGTTTAATAAAACGAAAATGTTTCAAATTTAATTTAACTACATGATATAACTACCATCTTGGATATAGCGAAGATGCTTGCAATACTGAATTGGCTTTTTGAATAATTACTTATATTCTTGGTTAGAAACTTGATTGCGTTATGTCACTAGGTTAGGTTACCTAATGATTGATGAAAGGGGGTGATGGTTGTGGCTCTCGTGGCTGTACATGGAGCATTTCCGTGGCTTGACTTTCCTATGTGAACCTTACCTTAGCCCGTTATCGATTAGTGGGGTAGGTACTACCTACCTAAACACGTAACCTAGGTACCTAAATATTCGCGAACTTCCATACATGTACTTCAGATAATAATACGTTAAACATCAACTTCGTAAATGAGCAGCAATTGGGCCGTTTGATGTGTCCCAATTGCGTCAATTACCCCAATTACCCATATGGCAACCAACGAAGACGAGGATGCGTCGTATGTCGACTACGACGCCTTTCTCGACCCGAATTTTAGCCCCTCTTCTTTTGCTAATAGCCTTGTCCTTGCTACAAATAACCCCAACGATACTCCCCTAGACCTCTCAACACCGTTGTCTAAAGTGCTTTTCGATGCCCAAGAGGTCGACTCTCATATTGACCTTCTTACTACCCGATCCGCGATCCCTCTCTTAACGTACACCAAAGAGCAGACAGAAGCGAGCGGAAAGATAATATCCGAAATCGACAACCAGGTTAAGAGCTTAAACGAGAGCTATAAGCAATTAGAGAAGGAGGTTATACAAAAGCATGCCGAAGCCGACGAAGTACGCCAAGTTGCTGCCCGACTATGGGAAACTCTGAAGCTGGGAAGGTCTGTTGGCCGCTGTCTTCAGTTGGGTCGGCAGCTTGAAATCCAACATGCCGAAATATCTAGTTCAGCATCTGCTACCACGACTAGCAGCAGCAAAAAAGAAGACCATAGAGCACTAGTACGCTGCGCACATACTATATTATCCTTGCGGGAAATACTCGACAAGAAAGCACCAGGGGAGGAAGGCTATGGGCTCGATAAAGTCAACGCAATCAAGAGTTTACGGGACAATGTCGTGGGCCCAGTCGAAAGATCTGTTAAAAACATCTCTGAACAGATTATTAGAGAATTCAGCATTGGATCCGCTTCAGGGACAGCCACTTTTGCACAGAGCGAGGAGGTCAAAGTTCGAACGATATCAGCCGTTATTTCTCTGTACCTCATATCGCCCATCACCGGCACGAAGCCTGATAAATGGACTCCTCTGCTACTCCTACAGATCCTCGAGGTATATTTGCGCAACGCATTACAGAGCTCCGTCGCATCGCTAGCCAGGTCACTTGCGACACTACCGTCTCTTGACCGGACTCTGGCGGAAATTTCTGCGCGATGCCAAAACATAATCGCCTTAGAGATCATTCTCGCTTCAACAAGTGCGCCTGCGCATCCACTCTTACCAGCACATAAGCACACATTAGATAAATATAACCTTCTACAGCCTCTGTTGGCATATCTAGAGACTGGTTCGCTTGCATCTTACTTTTGGCGGACTATGGCGAGCGGCTTGGCAACACGAGTTCAAGAAATTGTAAACCGTGGAGGTGTTTCAGCTCGCACATTGAAGTCAAACCGTAACAGCGTAGGAGAAGCTATCAGAGAGTGCGTTATCCGAGGCAGTCAGCCTCCTAGTACCGTTGTGGCTGCTAAGGGGAAGACCCCGAAAGGAGATACCGAAAAGAGTGGCGGGTGGGATCGTGAAGTCGCGGTGATGGTTAGTAGTGTCGTTGGAAATCTTGGTAGATGATACCATTACGACAACATCTAGTCTAACCCCCCACCCCGCGGAGCGGTACTAGGATTGGGTCGCTATTATAAACGAAATCTCTGGAGCAACTATATATTGATGCGAACCCCCCTTTTCAGGGGGAATATCTGAGAACAGGCTTCATCACCCGTGTAAGGGGTATGAATATGTCGGTTGGAAACGCTAAAGTCTAACGCATGGCCTTACCAAATCTTCTATAATAAAGTTTAAAAGATGAGTTATATATTGGCTAAGATAATTAGAGCCATGTTGAGTGTACGATTGAAAGCACTATCGGCAGCATCGCGGGGATAACCGGGCCGTGAATGCCCTCATATATCAATAACAGCATCTAATCCCGCAAGTCAAAATCGCTCAATGTTTGATCTAGCCGAGCCGATATAATGCATATTGATTCAAAACTATATAATTGCCGTTTATGCGTCAGGTTAATGTGTTTGTTCTTAGAGAGTCTTGTTTCGGCGGAGTTTATCGGGTTCTCGATATTGTGGTCTTACGGTTTGACTTACACAGCAACTGGCTTGTTAGATTATTGTGAGGTTAATTGCCTAACGGCCTGGTCACACCCTAAGAGGCCCAAATACGGGCCGTTTCACTGCAGTAGAGACATAGGCCGGTCTCGAACGCGCAGCCAGACGTTCTACTATGGCATGCACTCTCTTCCGGGTGTTTGGATTATATTGGATGTACCAATCAAGGCGTATAAACGGTACCAGCAGGAAAGGTTTACCTGGAGAAGCTGTATTCTGGTGGCATGTGTGTTACTCATATCCGATTGCGGGGTTTCCGTTTGAGATGATTGCTCTGATTGCTCTGATTGCTCTTTGAGCATGTTAAGTAAGGGTTGAAAAGGTCCAATCGTGATCGATTCGATAGCGATTATAAGCGTATTGATCACTGCTTAGTACTGCGCACTAGGAATTCTCTGCTCGAATACACGCTAGGTACCTTAATATGTGGTACCTATGTACCTACCTAACCTATGCTGTATGCTGTATATGTACTATTCATGTAGGTCCTACATGTACATGCATACGTAATGTACGATATAAACCCGTTCGACCGATTAGCAATGAATTCATGTGCTTTTCTTCTTCTTTTTTTTTCTTCTCTAGTGTTGGTGTTAGTACAAGTACTACAATCTCTTCTTCCCTGTAGAATTACTTCCAACTATAAATACACTCGATGCTTCTTTCTTTCTTAAAGTCGCATTTAGGCTATTTTTTGGTTAGGTGTTACATGTCTAATACGTCATTGGTCTGAGGTACGTACCAATCCCGAGTTAGCTCTCCAGCTAGTCCGGGGTCTCCGTTGGCCAATGCTTTTCCACGCTTTTCTATTTCTTCCTTGTCCATGATGATGTCTTCCACAAATTCTTCCCAGCCCGTCTTTCAGCATGTGCCAGCGTCACAGGCTCACAACGTCTTACCCCACTACATACCGAACGAACACATAGAAATACATACATCTGCAATTATCTATACATAATCACCGCAATCACCTCGTCTGGGGAGTTTTGCAACTTATAATAGGTTAGCTCGTCTAATTGCTCGTGCAACTTGCCTCTTATTCGACTCATCTTCGGCTATCCTCCTTATTAATTGAGTCTCTATGGTACATGTTTGATCTGCCCACTTCGAGCCCCGTACCCAGAACCGCCAAGTTTGAATCCGGGGACGAAGAAAGACCGAGATCAAATCACTTCGAGGCTGGCCTTGCTCGCTGTAGTGGGTTGCGTTGTCTGGTGCACTTCAGAACTTGTCGCCAGGACGGTCAAAGTAGCCCACATCGCCTAGGAGCAAAACCTCCCGGTTACATCTACCACACCTCCCGCCTATCAATAATCACTATCAGGTATCATCACTTTGCTTCTATTGCCCCACTATCATACCTAAAGCTAGAATAAACCAATTATCACGACGGCGATGATTGCCCCGCTATGAGTCCATGTCGTTCTGGCCTTCTAGATTCTGTTCTTCCACTACTTCTTCCTACTTTACTTTTACTCTTATTTGAACTTGCCAATGTCTAACCTAATCCTCTTTCCTACGTCCTTCTTCCTGGTCCTGACTGCTTTGTCGGTGTAGTCCTTCGTCTACCTAGTAATAACAGCCACCGCCAACATTCTCCCTCGCTACCAACAACCCCTCTAATCTATCAACTGTTACTATAGCCTTGTGCCTTCCCCCTTATCTCGCGTCACCGCTACATCTCTTTGTTTCCTAGAACTTCGGAATCGCGATATTACTTTACTATCTAATTCCTGAAGAAAAACAAAGCTGAACAATCATGGCAGAACGTGCACAAGAAACTGAGACCGCTACCACCAACAACATCATAAAGGAGGCCGAACAAATGTCCATCTCCCCCCGCGAGTCGCTCAGCGGCGGCAGTTCTCAACAAGATTCACCTGATCTACCACCTCACCTTCGAAATTCTGTTACGAGGGTTCCCGTGACCCCAGGTATTCAGTCCTCGACCTATTTGTCCGGAACGAGCACCGACTCTGTCAAGGCTGCGGGCCAGGGCTATTTCACACGGGATCCTGCCAACCATAGCAGCGGTGTGTCACAACCACCCCCGACAGAAACCCATTCAGATGGATCTTCTCCCACAAATTTAGTAAAAGGTGCTACCTCAGACCAGGAAGTCTTACGACGGATGAGTATTTCGACTAAGGGTCGAAGAGAGTCGATTTCGGAAATACGAGCTGCTGCTCCCGATTTAGCTCTCAGCGGTAACATCATCTCGGTTACTTTTACAACGCCTTATTCTATTAAGTACCATAAGAATGGCGAATGGGTGAGTTTGATATGGCAGGAAAAATAAATGCATCCCGAAACTAACGCTAGATAGGAATTGGATCATCGTCGCGGCCAATCTGCTCTTTTCGACTCCTTCTCCTACCTGTCGTCCGACGAAACACCTTGGAATCATACTGTAGTTGCATGGACGGGCGAGATTGAATCACCTTCCGAATCCTTGTCGTCTGTATCGGAGGCCATCCCCGATACGACTGCTAATATCCCGGGTCTGAGCCATCTTTCTGCTCCTATACCATTGGATGGAGAAACGCCACCAACACCCCCCGAGGTTGACGGTTTGTGGATTACGCGCGAAAGCCAATTGAAACTAGAACAACAATTATCCCATGATAGGCGCATCAAAGCAATTCCCGTGTGGCTCGCCGACGATAACGAGACGAGCGAAGAGGGCATTACATTAAACCACCAAGGACGATGGCGGCGATATGCTGAACACACGCTGTACCCCCTGTTCCACTACAAGCAACACGAACCCAACGATGGCCGCTCGGAACGTATTGAATGGGCTGACTACTTCCGTACCAACTTGAAATTTGCTGATAAGATTATTGAAACTTATAAACCCGGGGATATCGTCGTTATTCATGACTATTATCTACTATTGCTTCCTAGCATGTTGCGGCAAAGAATACCGAACATGTACATCACATTCTTCCTTCATTGTCCATTCCCTAGTAGCGAGTTTTTGAGATGCCTGCCGCGGAGGAAGGAGGTTCTCGAAGGCATGCTTGGCGCCAGCCTGGTCGGTTTCCAGTCGTACAGCTACTCGCGCCACTTTGCGAGCTGCTGTACCCGGATCCTTGACTTTCCTTCGGATTCCGTTGGTGTGGATGCTTACGGGTCTCGGGTTGAAGTCGGCGTCTTCCCAATTGGCATTGACGTAACCAAGGTAGAGCAGTTGGCGTGGTCTAAAGAAGTTTCGGATATGTACAAGGCTCTAAAGGATCTCTACAAGGACAAACAAATCATCGTGGGACGTGATCGACTGGATAGTGTTCGCGGTGTGGCCCAAAAGCTTATGGCATTCGAAAGATTCCTCGAACTTTATCCTGACTGGAGAGAGAAGGTGGTTCTAGTACAGGTTACGTCCCCAAACACAATTGAGGAGGGAGGAGATGAACCGGAGAATAAGATAGCGAGTAGAGTCAACGAGCTGGTCATGAGGATTAACGGCACGTATGGAAGCCTGGGGTTTTCGCCGGTGCAACATTATCCGCAGTACTTGTCACCGGAGGAATATTTCGCATTGATGAGAGCAGCAGACATTGGCCTGATCACGTCGGTCCGGGACGGCATGAACACTACCAGTTTGGAATATGTCGTTTGCCAGCGTGATACGCATGGTCCGTTAATACTATCGGAGTTTAGCGGTACTGCAGGTAGCCTGCGCGACGCCATACATATAAATCCTTGGGACCTTACCGATGTTGCCCACCAAATTCATAACGCTCTCACCATGTCCGCCGAAAAGCGCATGGCGATGCAGTCGAGCCTCTACCGGCACGTTACGACTCAGAACGTTCAAGTTTGGATCACGAAATTCCTACGCAAGCTCGTCGGCACGCTGGCGTCAACTAAGAACCAAAATGTCACGCCGTTATTGGATCGCACACTAATGTTGAAGCAGTACCGCGAGGCTAGCAAGCGTCTATTTATGTTCGACTATGATGGTACGCTTACTCCAATTGTTAGGGATCCCCAGGCTGCTGTTCCTTCGGAGCGCGTTATCCAAACCTTGAAGGCCCTGGCAGCAGACCACCGCAATGCTGTCTGGATTATTTCAGGCAGAGATCAGGATTTTCTACAGCAGCATCTAGGTCATATTCCAGAACTGGGTTTCAGTGCGGAGCATGGAAGCTTTATCAGACATCCCGGCAGCACGTCTTGGGAGAATCTGGCGGAGAAGTTGGACATGGGCTGGCAGACAGACGTGGTCGAAGTCTTCCAAAAGTACACCGATCGCGTACCCGGTAAGATCTCTCCGTGCAATCATGGTTTATAAATCCCACTAACTAATAATTGCTAGGCTCATTCATCGAGCGTAAACGATGCGCGTTGACTTGGCATTATCGCCAGGCAGATCCCGAACAGGGCGTCCATGCATCTCTAGCACTATATAAGGAACTCGAGTCGACCGTGGTCAAGAAGTGGGAGGTCGACGTAATGAAAGGCAAGGCTAACCTTGAAGTGCGACCCACTTTCATCAACAAAGGCGAGATCGCTAAACGCCTGATTAATGATTATAATACCGATATTGCGCACATTGCATCCGGGCAGCAAATCGACAAGGACAAAGAAGGAAAGTTAGAATTCGTCCTGTGTATGGGTGACGATTTCACCGACGAAGACATGTTCAGGGCTTTGAACGGTCTCAGCGACACACAAGTCGACAGGAGCCACGTCTTCACCGTTACCGTCGGTGCTAGTACAAAGGTCACGTTGGCTAAGTGGCACATGCTGGAGCCGGAGGATGTTGTGGAGTCGATAGCTCTGCTCGCCGGAGTTGGACTGAGCGGCGAGACGCACGAGCAACTAAGCCAGGTTAACCTTGCTACCGTTGCCGGACTCGAGGGCCGAGTACCTGAATGACTCGGCAGATCGAAGTTATGATTATACTAGGAATAGTAGGGGGTATAGAAAAGCGTGGCGCTGGGTTGTTGGCTCAGGCTAGAAGGGTTTGTTCGTACATTTGAAATAAAGCATGCCGCTTTTCACTCCCACGCAGAATAGCCTTAGAAGGAGAGCATAGAACAGCAGGCGGCCTGACGTCCCGGAAGTTCCGGACGAGCTGGTAATGGTCTTCAGATGACCTCGTTAAGCTTAGAGCAGCATAGGTAGACAATTCTCATCGGGGTCTAAATGCGCCGCGTTTAGACATAGATCTGTCTTTGTATCTGGGAGAAGACGGCCATCTATCTCGAGCATGGATATATACATAGACACGGTAATTAATAGCCACCTAGCATACTAAGTTAGCAATCATTCAAGTCCTATACGCATCTTAGCCTCCGTGAAATAGACAGATAATAACTGATCGTCGAAATGGACA